GCTGATATTTTTGTCTAGTATTTGGTATAACACGTAAGTGAAACATGTCGTCACAGACACAATTGAGTGTTTATTGTGTATTGTTCCTCCACAAAGCCAACGGCATAAATGCTTCAGCAACAAATTTTAAACACATGCAAAGAATGGCAAGCACCTGGAAACTTGCAGCGCGCATCTCAAGTAGAAAACGTATACGAAATGCGCATACACAGAACGAGTGCGTCTTAATAACATTCGCAGCTCGACACTAAAAGCCTGCTGCCTAAACATGAAGCAAGACGTACGAAACAAACGCACAAGTATACCCAAGACGGGTGCGAATAACGGTCACTATTCTTACTTGTTCTCTAGTGAGTAGCCCGCTCCCTTAGTAAACTTGTCCGCGGCTGCGAGCGAAGTGACCATCGAGCGCTTTTTAAAAACTGTTGCTTCAAAACAAATGCAGTGCAAGCAATGTCATCGCGGCGAGAGGCATGGCAGTTGTTGACGCGGTGTGGAACTGCGCGTTGGTCCAGGGACCCCGCGGGGTCCGAACACACTTTCTAATAAAGCTTTCCTCTCTGTTCACCTGTCTGTCGGTGGAAGCACAAGAGGTACAAAATGCCCGAATCAAGAGGAACAACGCCTTGTGGAAGCGTGCGCGCATCACAGCGCGCGGGGCGCCGCCCCTTGGAGCGTGTCCAACGCACGTCCCTCTTGCCATCTCGCTATCGATGACAGAAACCCGTTGAAGTCGCCGAGTTTTGAGGACCACCAACGGCATATAATGCATATATATAGCTCGCCGCCAGCAAGCTGAAGAAAGTACGCCCTGTGCTTTAGTGGTTTCGTTCCAGGCACTGCGAAACGAGAGGTCGTGGGATCGACGCCCAGCGGTGAAAACTTGTCTTCTGATTGTGTTTCTTTACACTGTCTTAGTATATGTATTTTACTACGTCATAATTATGACGGAAATACGTTAGTGGAGCTGTGGTGAACCATGGCATAAAGCCCATTTGTGTTAGCATCACCTCATTCCACTTTCTCCGTGAACTTCGCTGTTTCCTACTGCTGAATATTTGTTGCACAAACTACATTTACGTGCGCTGCGATTTCTCGCGGCGTAATTGCTGATAGTGCAAAACGTAGTGAAATGTCACCACCGACAATTATATTAGCTCGGGTTTTACGTCCCAAAACCAGGGTAAAATTATGAGAGGCGCCGTAGTGGAACGCTCCAGAACTTTTGACCCTCTGGTATTTTTTCATGTGCACGGATATCACACAGGACGCGGACATCTGCCACTTCGCCTCCATAAAAATGCGACCGCCACAGCTGGGGTCGAACCCGCGACCTTCGGGATGGCTGTCGAGCACAATAGCCACTGATCCACATCGGAGGATAGGCACTGTTAAAGCTACATAAAAACACTTTATGTGCGGATAACCTCTGTCAACCCATATGAATTGGCAGATCATCAGAAGCGTTTTTCCGAAAGTTGAATATTCTGACCTCAGTGATGGAGGTGGCTTTTTTCTTTCGCATTGGTTTTCTTCAGTCTAGGTCGTAATCAATACAGCACAGCTAAAAGCAACAATAATGTGTACTGCATTTTTTTTCTGGCTTACTTGTCTACAAGATTCAATTGGTTCTGTCTAACAAAGAAATCTACCTCTAGAATGGTTCAACCTCTTTTATCCATCCTGCTGCGAGATATTCAGATAAACGGCATTAGTGACCCTGGTTAGCGAATTTAGAAAGAACTCAGTGAACATCATCATCATCATCGTCGTCATCATCATCATCATCATCATCATCATCATCATCAGCCTGACTATGTCCACTGCAGGACAAAGGCCTCTTCCATGTTCCGCCAGTTAACTCGGTCCTGTGCCTGCTGCTGACAATTTATACCCGCAAACTTCTTAATCTTATCTGCCCACCTAACCTTCTGTCTCCCCCTAACCCTCTTGCCTTTCTCTGGGAATCCAACTAGTTACCCTTAATGACCAGTGATTGTCCAGTCTATGCGCTACAGGCACCGCCCATGTGCATTTTCTCTTCTTGATTTCAACTATTATATCCTTAACCTCAATTTGTTCGCTAATCCACTTTGCTCTCTTCTTGTCATTTAAGGTTACACCTACCGTTTTTTTCCATTGCTCGCTGCATCGCCCTAAATTTAAGCTGAACCCTCTTTGTGTGTCTCCACTGCTTCTGCTCCACAGCTAAGTACCGGCAAGATACAGCTGTTATATACCTTCCTCTTGAGGTATAGTGGCAATCTACCTGTCATAATTGGAGAGTGCTTGCCGAATGTGCTCCACCCCATTCTTATTTTTCTAGTTACTTCAATCTCGTGGTTCACCTCCGCGGTTATTACCTACCCTAAGTAGACATAGTCTTTTACAACTTCAAGTGAACTATTACCTATCTCAAAGTGCTGCTTTCTTTCGAGGTTGTTGTACATTACTTTCGTTTTCTGCAGAATAATTTTAAGACCCACATTTCTGCTTTGCTTGTCTAACTCCGTAATTATGATTTGTGATTCGTCACCTGAGTTATTCAGTAATGCATTGTCATCAGCGAAGCGCAGGCTACTAAGGTACTGTTAATTCACTCTTATCCCTAACTGTTCCCATTCTAGGTCTCTGAAAGCCTCCTGTAAGCACGCGCTAAACAGCATTGGGGAGCTTGTATTCCCCTGCCTTACACCCTTCCTGATTGGTATTCTGTTGCTTTCTTTATGAAGCACTTTGGTAGCAGTTTATTCCTTGTAGATTTCTTCTAGGATGTTTATATATGCTTTATACACATCCTGATTCCGCAGTGTCTGCATGACTGCTGACATTTCTACAAAATCAAACGCCTTCTCCTAATCTATGAAATCTATGTATGCTGGTCGGTTATACTCTGAGCATTTCTCTATTCCCTGTTTGATAGTACGAATGTGGTCGCTTGTTGAGTAGCCTGTTCGAAATCCTGCTTGTTCCTTTGGTTGATTCAATTCTAATGTTGTCTTGACTCTGTTGGCAATTACTTTTGTAAATAGCTTGTATACTACGGAGAGCAAGCTGATCGGCCTGTAATTCTTCAAGTCCTTGTCATCTGCTTTCTTGTGTATTAAGATGATCTTAGCGTTCTTCTAAGACCCTGGCACTCTTCCCGTCAGGGTACATCTCGTAAACAGGGTGGCTAGTTTTTCTAACACAATTTGTTCGCTATCTTTCAGCAGATCTGATGTTACCTGATCCTCACCAGCAGCTTTGCCTCTTTGCATGCTCTCCAAGGCTTTTCTGACTTCTTCAATCATTACTGGTGGGGTGTCATCTATGTTACTGCTAGTTCTTATAGTATTAAGGTTGTGGTTGTACCGGCTACTGTACAGATCTCTGTAAAACACCTCCGCTATTTTAACTATCCTATCCATATTGGTATTTATTTTGCCTTCTTTGTCCCTTAGTGCATACATCCGATTTTTGCCAATCCCAAGTTTCCTCTTCTCTGCTTTGACGCTTCCTTCGTTTTTCAGAGCGTGTTCAATTCTCTCCATGTTATACCTTCCTACATCGTATACCTTAAGCTTATTAATCAAGTTTGAAAGCTCTGGCAGTTCTATTTTGTCTGTCGTACTTGAGACTTTCATGCTTTGACGCTTCCTAATGAGATTCTTCGTTTCCTGGGAATGCTTGCCAGTGTCCTGTCTAGCTACCCTACCTCCAACTTCCACTGCACACTCCGTAATAATACTCGTCAGATTATCAATCATTTTATCTACGCTAAGGTCGGTTTCCTCAGTAAGAACCGAGTACAGGTTCTGAAGCGAGACTCTGAATTCCAGTACTTTCCCTCTCAGTGCTAGCTCATTGATTGGCTTCTTGCGTATCAGTTTCTGTCGTTCCTTCTTCAAGCCTAGACGAATTTAAGAACGTGCCATTCTATGGTCACTGCATAGTACCTTGCCAACCACTTCCGCATCCTGCACGATGCCTGGGTGTGCACTCATTATAAAGTCTATTTTTTTCTTATTTTCGCCACTAGGGCTCCTCCATGTCCACTTACGGTTTCGTCGTTTTCGGTAGAAGGTATTCAAGATCCGTAAATAATGCGTTCTGCAAATTCTACTAGTAGCTCTCCTTTGGCATTTCTAGTGTCGATGCCGTAATTTCATACTTCCTCTTCTCCAGCCTGCTTTTGCCCTAAATTTGCATTAAAGTCTCCCATCAGTATAGTATACTGTGATTTTACCTTACTCATTGCCGATTTCACTTCTTCATAGAAGCTTTCAGCTGACGCATCATCGTGGCTGGATGTGGGTGCGTAAGCCTGTACCACCTTCATCTTGTATCTCTTATTGAGTTTAATTACGATACCTACCACCTTTTAGTTAATGCTTTAGTATTCCTCTATGTTGCCAGCTGTGTTTCTGTGAATTAGGAACCCCACTCTCAGTTCTCTTCTGTCAGCCAAGCCCTGATAGCAAAGGACGTGCCCCTTCTGTAGCACCGTATAGGCCCCATCTGTCCTCATAACCACACTTAGCCCTATTATATCCCATTTAACACCCTCTAGCTCCTCGAATAGTACAGCTAGACTTGCCTCACCAGATAAGATTCTAACGTTAAATGTTGCCAAGTTCAGGTTCCAAAGGCGGCCTGTCCGGATACAGAGTTTCTTAGCACGCTCTGCTGCCTTGCAGATCTGACCGCCGCCGTTGTCAGTTGCTTCGCAGCTGCTGGGGACTGAGGGCGGTGAGTTAATTGACGTTTGCCTGTGGGAGGTAGTGGCCAGATACTGCACCAGGGCGCCAAACCTTCGCTGGTGAGAACCCCCCTCCCCCCCCCGTTAGCTCGTGTCCGTGGTGTCGCTACACACCAAACACCTGCTTACGCTGACGCCCCTGCGCTCCAGCTTAATATTGGTGTTGGATGTAGATTCAGATGTGTTATTTGCTTGGTTGCTTAAGTGCCGAAGCGAGAAATTATTGTTCAATTTATGTATTTCGTTTCTTCTGTTGCAGGAAATTACGCTGTCCACGTATGACCTAAGGGAGAAGCCTGTTATTGTTCTTTTCGTCATGGCAGCCGCAGTGGCTGGGAATTTCGTACTATCAGAGGTGCAAGACTTAGTAATTTCTAGACGAAAATATTCAGGGGTATGTATCAGCCACTGTGCCACTATTAGGCATGCAAAGAAAATGTTTTTTTCAGTGGTTTTACTATAAGCACGTAAGAAATAATGGCGCTCCTGAAAGGTTACTGTAAGTTAACCTGCCTAATAATAGTAGTTGTCGCATACGTTTATTTGAACGCCAGTCCACACAAAGCTTGATGTGAAAGCAGATTTTAATTTCATAGTTACATGAAGCAACTTTGCTGGAGCCTGAAATAAGAAGAAAGCGTTAATAAAAGAGAAACAGTGACGAGCTGTTCTTAAGAAATGCGAAAGGGAAACAACCAGAGCTCACTTGAATATTACAAGAAATTAGAGCACAAATACACTCGTCTCAGATCACAAGCATGTACAAAAAGAAAAGGTGAATGTATATAGAAGCACCCGAATAATGAAAATTGAGGCTTGAGATTGTTCGAGACAATCAGAACCAGTCAAACATTAGGTATACCACGCGAACACATCACTACCCTAACAACCAACTTGGTCACCTCCAGCCTGTCTGACGAGTGAGCCAAAGTTACCATGCTATCGTACTTTGCTAAATAGTGCACCTCATTTGGACGCCGGAGAAATACGGCTTAATACGGGTCCATTCAAAAATTTTTAATGTGACACATGTTTGGTGGCTTCCCCTCTGCGTTCGCTTTGTAATCAGCAGAAAATGACACATCACATGAGCATGCCATGTCGCTACTTCAATGTTCAATATAAACTGTTTTGGGACATACATTCATGTAAGGAAAGTGGACTGCTTGGAGTATGCTCGTGACGGCCAGCGCAATCAATACAATTTATAAAAAACATCGCCTGTACCGTTCATTCTTTCTTTTGTCCTGCCTTCTCATGCGCTGGCCATCACTAGTTCTGAAATTAACCTTCTTACATATTGGCAAGAACTACTTCAAATAATTATTTTTCGCTCGGAATCTCGACACATGTCTACAGTCACGGGCATAGTTAGAACAGATACGTTATTTTGAGAATAACGTAGTGAGACAAAAACAGGAAAACGGGAAACAGCACCATTTTTTTTTTCTGTCTATGTGTGTTTCGTACATAAGATGAACATGTAGATGTGCCTCCGCTGTCCACAATATTGATAAATTTCCACTAAGTGGCATGCTGCTTTATACAAAATGTGAAAATAATTTTACTGGTTATTTTTAGTACTATTGTCCCTAATATATATATATATATATATATATATATATATATATATATATATATATATATATATATATTACAAGTCTTTTATTACAAGCAACTTCAATATCGTCGTCCCGGTGATAGCACAGCCTGCTGTCATATAGCACAATGAAACTGCGCCCGCATTTCTTTGTCAGTAAAGAAGGTGGGAGCCAGATCTGCATTGGATGGTGGCATTGATCACCCCGCCAAACATTGCGTGTACCCACGTACCTGAACCAGATGGAAATCTACAATATTGTTTAATGATCGCGCAACTTTTCTCTTGAGTCAAGACCCCTTCCAATAAGGTGTACGTATCAAAATGGTATAGTTACCAGAGCTACAAAAATATAAGTTCAAAATCAAGCATTCACTACTCAATACTGGCCATTGTAGGTAAGCATACGCCGTCTGTCAGGCAGTGTGCGAAGAGACGTTTCGTATGTATTTACGGGCAGTTTTGCAGCAAAGAGACCAGTACGTCAACGAAAAGGCAAGTGGTCACAAGTATATGGTTGCTTTTTATCCTCACGGCAGTGACACCGCATGCATGATTACCAGCTGTTCTAAAATGTCCATGCAGAATTTCTCTTGTACTGTGACGGAAACGATCTGCTGGAGAAGTCGAACAGACTGCGCCTATAACGTTAAATGTTGTGACTTTTACTTCCAGAAAAGAATTGACCAAGATGCGCAGTCTGTATTTGGACGACAAACGTGTACAGTTTTGTACAGGTGAGAATAAGTGTACAAGATACTTTTCGCAGTAAAGATGGTAAAACACGCGAAAAAATTATCATCATCACAAACGGTGAACGTCCACCGAGTCTTGCTAAATCCCACCTTGTAATAAACCAGTCGGCTGAAATAACGAATAAGAGATATAGGAAAGAGAAGACGCTGTCTGTATCCCTCTTTTGAAGGTGTCCTAAGAAAGTGCTTACAGCCAAGAAGCATGCCACACATGTTGAAGTTGGACGCGTTGGTCGAAGGGGAGGACAAGAGGTGACGGGCCCTCGCTTTTCGGGGCCAAGCTTCGTGTGACTTAGCGCAAATTTTCCTCATTTTTTATTGTCTTATAGAAGCAACTTCCTCTTATCTATTGATACATTATTATTTAGAATTTGTTTAGCATCAGTTAGGGGCGGAGTTGTAGTTTTATTACATAGGACAAGAACCCAGATCAATAAAGAATCGGCCTATGTCCCCTATCTTACCTAAACCCTGTAGCCACTTGTATAATTTATGGCGGCAGGTATTCAAAAGCGACGGTGATAGAGCAGTGTGATGAAACCATAGGGTGCTCTTTGAGTTCACGTGAAAGAGTGCGTAGAAGACAATGCGTAAAAGGCCCCACTTTGTCGCAATAAATTACCAGAAAAATAACATTTCCTGCCATAACACAACTACATGAACTATTACAACAGAATAGTAACAATTACAACGGCAAGGCGATATGCATTGAAGCACGAGTTATCTAAAGGGCCTCTGGCTCATACCGGAAAATTCCGGACTGTTTTTCTTACCGAGGGAAGGTGGACAAAAGAAGCTTGATGCGTGTGTTACTAACCGAACGCTTGTCTCTTCATATTTGTCGCGATGCTGTAGCCGATAAGCGTCAATCTTCGTATTCCGAATCAGATGTCTTAAAAACTACATCTATTTTTCTCCTTTTCTAACTGCAGTATCTTCAAGGACATGTTACAGAAAGGAAAAACAGCGACGAAGGAAATTCCAATGCTCCGGAGAGGGCTGGTTTGCGAAACGCTTGTCGGCGCCTTTGCGTCCCGAATGAGAGCCAGGTGAGGACATTGTGGACGAAAATTGGTATAGCAACTTCACGGGTTGACGTGATCAGTAACAATTGCAGCATGCTTACTTCTTCCCTACTCGAGTTGGAAGCTTGTGAATGCGACACCAAAATAAGTTGAGAATATTGCAGTTTTTTGAGAAAATTATATGTATTATTTCGACCACTAGCGCTGACGCCTAACACGGAAACAGTGTTCCCTACTTTTCCTTGCACATTTTCCTACATAGCTCCAGCACTTGTGCCGCTTTGTTATACCATTTCGGTTTTCGTTAGAAAGGGCTCTCAAGAGAAAAACAATTCGATTTGAATGGACAAAATGTACCCTGCGAACTCAAACCCCACATGTTTCGCTATCATGGGTTCATTATTAGCCTACTAATTCAAGCTTGAAGCTTCATTTTCATATTTTGCCTGAAATCTACACACTTCACGTCAGAAATTTCAAAGTGTATATTTCGTATTTTCGCGACATTGGCTCTAATAAATTTTCGGAAGCTTTGTTGGTTGACCTCCCTGTCTTTGCTCTCCATTTCACTGTCGCTCTTTCTGAAACTTCGTATTCTAGGCCTATGACGCCCACAACTGACAATGTATCTCATTTTTATTAACTAGAAGCTACGTAGCACCGCGTAGACGCTTTCAAAATCTACGAAGTCATGGAGTTCGGTGCAAGAGTTTCAAGGTGGCGTCTTCACACGTCTTTTCTTCTCGCGCGTTTTGTCACTTACTAGGTGTTGTGTCTCGGATAGTATAGTGTTTTTTGGGGTGATGAAATTGTACGTTACTAATACGTTATAAAAATTGTTTCGCTCTCTCGGGTCCCTTCAAATTTAGGGCATGTCACACGATGCTGTGCAGAAAGCTTTGAGGCTCTCGCATATTTCTTTGACAAGACGGAACTCCGCCGCAGAGATGTAGCGGCTGCGCGCTGCTCGTCTGCTGTTGTGAAGGTCGTGGGTTCGATTCTGGCCGAAGCGGTTGCATTTCAATGGAGGCAAAAAACTAAAAGCATGTGTGATGTACGATGTCAGTCTACGTCAAAGATCACGAGATGTTTGAAATAAACTCTAATAATCACATCGTGGTTTTTGGGGTGTAAAATCTCAGATATTATTATTATTCATAAACTGAAGACAACGCAGCGAGGAACTGAAAGGAAAATTATAGGTGTAACCTTGAAGACAGGAAGAGAGCAACGTAAGTCAGGGAACAGGTGGGTGTTAAGGACATCATAGTTGAAATCATGCAGATGAAATGGACATGTGGACTATAGGGCCTGCTGGTGATTTGTGATCGATGTATATTGCGCGGTAGAAAACATGGACCGCAAGCAGACAAGGACAAGTGCTTTATTAATGGACATGGGCAAGGGCACGTAGCTCGTAGGCAGGATAACAGCTGGTCTTTCAGAGTAACATATTTGATTTGCGAGAGAAGCCAAACGCGTCAGAGGGAGACGAGAAATTAGGTAGGCATATGATTTTAAGAAGAGTTGCGGGATACAACATGGCAGCAGCAAGCACAGGACTGGTTTAATTGATGAAACATGGGAGAGGCATTTGCCCAAATCAACAGTTGAACGAAAACCCACCTGGTCCGCAACAGGCATGAAGGTAATCGAAACAAGAAGCTCACCACTTTAATAGCCAAACAGCAAGACATTTAGGCACTCGTGTCAGAGTATTGTTCACAAATGCAAAATCAGTGGATGGTCGCGTATGTTTTGAAATGTGGCGTCAGCAACGTGATGTACTACATGTGAGGGAAGTTTGCACCAGTTCGATTGACTGCACGCCGTCGTCTGGACTGTGATAGATCCAAGATGCAGCCGAGGGGAGGAGTCCGCTTCTCGTTCTGTTACTTTTGCTTTGTCCCAGTCTACTTTTAAGAGCTGGCTGCTCGTCCATCCCCCCGCCGTAGGTCAAGTGCGCGTGGGCCCTGCACTGTGTAGCGACCTAACGAAATTCCAAACGAGTTCAGCACATTCACACGAGCTATATTGCCTTCATAAAAGGGGAATACAGTGTCAAGACTGCATAGTTTCAGTGTTAGGCGTCCGACAAACACGTATTTTGGAGCGCGCTTCCACTCTGTGAAGTCCTCTGATTTGGCGGCTGACAACGTTTCTCTGATATTTATCTATTTATTTATTCATACTGCAATCCCTATTACAGAGATTTTAGCAGGGTGGTTACAGATATAATTTTCACAATGTTGGCACTCAAGATTGCATAAACCAAACAAACAAACAAAAAAAATAGAACAGCCTGATGTAAACAATCAGGTCAAATTTGCTGCAAACAACTCTAAGGACGGCTCCATCACTTGGTTATTAGTTAATCCATTCCACTGAGTTACTGTACGAGGAAAAAAGGAATATTTGAAGCAGTTATTTCGGAACCGGAAAGGGGTTATTGTAAGTTGATGCCTTTGGCGGGTGGCGTACCCAGAAGAAAAGGAAATGATGTTGGAAACATCAAGCTTATAATGCCCTTTAATTATTTGGTAAAGAAATTGTAGTCGTATTAAACAATTTCTTTCGGTAACTGAAGGCTCATTGGCACGATGTAGGAGTTCAGTTATAGAGGTGCGTCCAAAGCTATTAAATATAAAGCGGACTGCCTTCTTCTGTGCGTTTTCCAATTTAGTTATGTTAGCTTTAGTGAAGGGGTCCCAAACAATCACTCCATATTCTAACACTGGGCGAATGATAGTCCTGTACGCTAGAGTACGCACCGTGGAATTAGAATGTTTTAGAGCTCTTCGAAGGAAGAATAGTTTTCGGTTTGCGTTTGTAACTACGGAGTCAATATGTTTAGTCCAGCTAAGGTCATTGGTAATCCAAATGCCAAGATACTTAATGTTAGTTACCTCAGAAAGGGTGAAACTTGCGGTGGAATAATTAAATAGTAAGGGTTTTTTCTTGTGAGTTATTCGCATAAATACTGTTTTATCGAAGTTAATTGACATCTGTCATAAATCACACCACTTCACAATGTTATAAAAGGCACTATTCAGAATGATTTGATCGGTTACATTGGATATTTCAGAATATATGACATAGTCATCTGCATACAACTTGATTTTTACAGGAACTTCATTCACAATATCATTGATAAAAATTAAAAACAAAAGGGGTCCAAGAACCGTACCCTGTGGGACGCCAGAGTCAACGGTTGCCTCTTCTGAACAGAATTCATTAAAAACAACAAATTGTTTACGGTTTATAAGGTAGTTTGCTATCCATTTTATTAGGCGCGAATTTTTAAGTGTTTTTTCTAATTTAAAAAGTAATTTCTTGTGTGAGACTTTGTCAAACGCTTTTGAAAAGTCCATAAAAATGGCGTCAGTTTGTGTCCCATTGTTAATTGAAGTCGCGAAATTGTGAATTGTCTCGACAAGTTTGCGTACAGGTTGAATAGCCTTTTCTGAATCCGTGCTGGTGTTTTGTTAAGATATTATGCTTACTAAGAAACTCAGAGATATGCGTATGTATTATGTGTTCTATAAGTTTACAGGTAGTTGACGTTAATGAAATAGGACGATAATTTGAGATAAGTTGCTTTTTACCCGACTTATAAAGAGGCTTGACTCTGGCGGCCCTCCAATCATCTGGTACTCGACCTTCGTGTAGCGATTTTGAAAATAAAACATACAGATATTTGGCGATCCACCCGGCATAACGCTTTGCTCTTGGATATGCCTTGCTCTTGGTCGTGGTTAAGATGCTCGAATTTTGCTATAACAATTGTCTTTTGCAAAAGGTCCGCAGAAATGAACGTCAATAGATCACAAGTTATCTTTTGCAAAAGGTCTGCAGAAATGAACGTCAATAGACTTCGAAGTTTTTGGGTTCACATCCCACCGAAGGAAGGGTAATTTTTTGTTCACTGAAATTCCATCAAAGTACGTCATAGCTGGACACTACGCCAAAAAAACCAATAACGCCTCCATATTTTGCTTTTATGAAGAGCCTGTTCGATTCACTTAGCGGAAAGAAACTAAGAGGCGAGTCCCGTGAGAAAACACCTCTAGTTTCATTATAAAGCTCTGCTCAAGAAGTTCCCACTCCTCTGAGCTGCCTCCCCCTTTGAGTTCTGCGAACGAGCCATTCTTCTTAATTTCATAACTCGTGAATTCATCATCTCGCTTGTTGTGTCTTCGACGCAGAATCTGATACTTGCGTTGTCATCTTGTCAACTGTTAAAAGTCCCCAACATTTTTGGTCGGCCCGTTATGACCTCGCCTCTCGATAAACACGTACAATTGGATACCCTTTTAAAGATTGGCCCCGTGTCTGCATGTAATCTGCAAATGTCGTCGAAAGACGATAGTCTTGCGTGTGGAGAGAGTGAACAAAACATTTATTTCATGTTCTGCGCAAGAAAATCGGTGAATGGTATTCCGGAGGCGCTGCGTAAGAGTGCCTCGAGCGTGCAGCGTAGGCGAACGAGTGTATCAAGTCACGTCACACGTGAGACATGAGCGCCATCTGGCAGTATTTTTTGGAAAACAAAGTGCGTGGCCCTGAGACAGGCGTGTGCGCCCGAATCAGAGGTGATAAGGTGTAAAACGCAAGGCGACGGGTAGGGGCCACCACCGTGTCTTCTTAGCAAAGAGTTGCAAAAACTCGCCTTTCCGTGCAAGCGATGCATGGTCAGCGCTACGGTCCTTAGAATTACTTATGTATGCCTTTTCTAGTAAAAGACGAACAAGCAAAATATATATGTGTCGTTATGGTGCCTCAAATATGTGCAATAATTGCTTTTTAATAGACACTGCCCCGCCGCGGTGGTCTAGTGGCTAAGGTACTCGGCTGCTGACCCGCAGGGCGCGGGCTCGAATCCCGGCTGCGGCGGCTGCATTTCCGATGGAGGCGGAAATGTTGTAGGCCAGTGTGCTCAGATTTGGGTGCACGTTAAAGAACCCCAGGTGGTCTAAATTTCCGGAGGCCTCCACTACGGTGTCTCTCATAATCATATAGTGGTTTTGGGACGTTAAACCCCACATATCAATCAAGCTTTTTAATAGACAATCACACACGTATGAACGCTGATCCTTGAGCAATATTGGTGGGCGCTGCGGATGCGGTCGGCCGTTCGGGGTATCAGCTGGTGCTGTTTAGAGTACCCGGTTCACGGTAACAATAGACAAACAGACAAACGTACAGACAGACAGACAGACAGACAGACAGACAGAGAGACAGACAGACAGACAGACAAAAGTTTTTCGTCGAAGGTGCCTAAGAAAGACTATCGTCCTTAAAAGTACCAAAAGTTCCCACCCGGACGGCCAAAGCACGGCGATTGATCGGCTCCACGACTGAAGAAATAGTCCCGCTCTTCCTCTAGGCAACGTTCTCCAAAGGCAGGGTCACCGGTCGTACTGTTCATGACGTTACTCTAGTGCACGCTCTCATAGGAGCAGCCTTGGGGAAGAGTAGCTTTGAGGGGGAAGTGCCGGAGACTTATAACCTTGTATACAACTAAGCCTACTGTGTTCATTAAGGTTGAGAGCTGAGCTAGTTGGTGATTGATCATTATAACGTACGGCGGCATAGCGCACCTTAAAAGGAGACAAAGGAAATAAGCGAGTGTCGTCTCCATCTTGTCTCCTTTCTTCTACGTCCAGAGTGCGCCATTTCACCGAACAGTATAATCAGTTTAATGATAATCAAGCCTACCATGGTTTGCTAAAAGGAACGATGTAGGAATGCGTACTCACTACGTCCGAGCTCACTTGGAGCTTTCAGGCGTCGACGCCGGAAAGCGAAAAGATTGCAGTGTGGAGGAAGATTAGTTACAAGAACTCCTATGTGTTGAGTCTTATATCTAAGATCAATCGTTCGGCCATTTAGACTGATTACTCATGACTAGCTACGGTTTATCAATCACTGCTGTGATTGCCATGTATGTTTCAAATGACTGTATTGCACCTAATCTTTTTCAGCAATAAGGCGCCTGAGCAGCGATGTGAATTTTATATCAACCTTTTCAAGGTATTATGGGTGGACGTTCTTCGAGTTCTATTGGCAACCGTCGGCTACTATGCCTGCATATTTGCAAGAATCCCAGCTCTGGAGTAAGTTTTTCTTGTTTTACTATAAAAGGCGGCAACAATTTCTTCAATATGAAACTACTATGTACACACACGAGTCGTGTAGCATAACGACAGCTGAAAAGTAAGGACGGCCACGCAAGGGATTGCCTGGTTTTTACTACTTTGCGCCAATTTGGCAACTTTTCTAGGCTGGTGGCTGACAGAAAAAAGTGACTTCGTGACGTGGCTTGTTTTTGGCTAGTTTCTTGTCCCTTGATTTTAATCAAATAATAAACACCTCGTGGTATCACTGCCGCTGGCGTTCCAGTGCGTGCTTAGAACTCCCGAAATTGACTTTGGAACCTGCATTACAAAAAGCAACGGCTTCGGAATTCGTGGCTGTATCTCAGGCAAAACATTTGCATTGCACCTCCCTTCGCATACCAGAATGCCATTTTAAATCATAGCTAGGATTTAACGGGACAATAAAAATCATTCCATAACCATGGAGTCCTGCACTTATCGGCATTAGTGGTTCGATATACGACCAAATCTTGTGTCATTTCTTAGCATAAAAAAGTAACTGCGACTGAAGAATATTAAGCTCTCAGACTTCATCACCAAACAAGAAATGATGATAAAGTTGAATACAATATATGCGCCAATCTCAGCAACCATGATTTTGTGCACACTTATGGGATACTCAGTTTTATTGCCACAAGGCCATTACATTTACTCGTCTTAAGAAACTCGCCATATACATGTCAAGATTGCTAAGTAAACAACCTATACTTGAATCCTTAGCAAATATGCATTTCGAAGGAGGCATGCATGCTACTTATTCACATTTTCGCGAAAATACCTTTTGGGTTTGCTCATTTAAACAAAAACCTCACACTCGTTTTAACTTACGTGACTACTTTTGAATGCTTTTCCTTCACTTCGCTTGGATATTTTCGTCTACACAACTCAGCAACCCTGGCGTCACAATGTCACTTGATGGTTTGCAGGTTCCGCAAAAAACGCTTAACTCTTTAAATAGTGTTGCTTGCCTGTTAGCTTTACGTGACCTTTGTACTTTTTCAAGGTGGTTGCCAAGGCTTTTTCAGGGTGGTTTCGCAAACATATAAAAGCATGCAGGCAAGAGAAAAAAGAACAAAAGACAGGAAAGGTAGGAATGTTAACCTGTTGAGCATAATCCGGTATGCTACCCTGCACAGGGGAACAGGATGAGAGAAATTGAAAGAAGGGGAAGGAAAGGGAAAGAAAGAGGGAGGGAGGTAGTAGTGCTGACAAACCTGCTAGCATATTTTGGCGTTACAAAGACTGCATTGTGGCCTACCTTAAGAAACACACGCACACGCAAACACACACACACATGCACACAGGCCCCTTTCCCCCCTCCAAACAAACACACTCACAACGTGCGGTATATTGTGCGATATACGGCATCATCATCATTCTATAGGTGCTCGGTAACTTTGTTGTCCTTGGAAACTTCAGTCTTGGCTTGACTGCTTGAACTCTCGATGGCTTTCGGGATGGCATTGGAAAACAGTTACTAGCGTGATCGGCTTGTTCTCAAGGTGAGCGATATTGGTTTTAATAAAGAAGAGTTTAATAGACGCCAACAGCCACCGTGCAGTGAAAAACTCAAACAGCATCTCTTGTTGACGCAACGCCTCTTTTTGATGTTACGTTCTGCGACCAATTCATGCATGGACTAAGGAATAACCACTGGCAACACATTGTTTTTGAAAATAAGCTGACGTTCACAAAGGCCTAATGTGTTGTTTTTCGTGCGCACAGCATTGCCTAAGAAGAGTAAGAATAGTAAGAAAGAAACAAAACCATGAAATTGGATGAACAGGCGACTTATCAAGATCGCCGCAACTCTGTCGCAGCAAACAGATAGCAGTGAAGACATTGCTGGCATCACGGTCAGCCGTTAGTCACCAGTGACACAAGTGTGAAGCAGATGCGTCTAATTTACGACAAACGCGCGGAAACCTTAAGAAGGCCCGTATCACGAAGGAACGGATGAAATTTCTACCTTTGCGACAATAATGCGTGACTACGCCAAAGAAAGCTGAAGTAGACACGCAGAACATTACACCAGTGCCGACCGTGACGCGCCACTTACACAGTGCCGTCAGCCCGCGCACGGTACCGAACACCACGGTCAACTCTCCTATGCACCCCCAACTTGCTTATCCACAAGGAACTACGACAACTGGTGAAAAAAATGACTGAGCCCTTTTCGGCGAGAACACGTTCATATATCAGAAGTTGCATACAACGACAGTATAGCTAATCTGTCTCTCGCGTGTGTGGAGGGCACTAAATCAGCCTTTCGTCAAAAAATTGGTTCGAAGCTCGCAAAATCGCAATCTGAGCCATCAATCAGGTAGCGGAATCAAAGCTGGATCATGCTACACAAGCTGATTCAGCAGCTGCATGAGTACGAGGTGATATCAAATGAAATTTATGTACATTACAAACGACTAGCGAACCTCGGCGCGCACGCCGAAAGAGGTCAATACGTAGCTTGTGAGTTTCCTGTCGGCTACGCAGCTTGCCCTGCAGCATGCCAAGAGGAACCTCAATAAACATTAACATCGTGTTATTTGGCACACGCACTATTCACACTGCAGGTCCCCGCCGCTCTTCGTAGTAAAAAGAAAAAGATAAATCAAAGCCTCTTCATTCGTGGAAACTACCGTTCACCATGAACTTGGCGACTAAATTGTGTTCGTACCCTCAATCACCCCTCATTGTGGCCACAAGAGGAATACTTGGAGGACAGTTGTGCAGAAGCTTTGACCTAACCAAGGTACACGGCTTAATCGAGATTGATAACTTCAGAAGTGATCACTTTAATAGCACTGGGTGAATATACAGTGCCATTGGATGACCGCTTGAAGAATTGGTAGCACATTAGACATTTCGAAAGCACCTAGAGTTTTCGCTTCAAGGAAATGCTGACACACTCATCTGTGGGGACACTGCAGTTTTCAGTCAGAAACATTCACCTCACCTGTAGAGCTTAGCTGAAAATATGTGCTTGAGTTTAACTAGGTGTTAGTATTCATAAGTGTGGCTTGTTGGTTCATCAAGTGAAGCCTGCAGGTGGTCCGATAGAAGCCGAAGGTATTTCTGCCGGTGACAAGGTACGTGTCTCTACAAGTGCGTGCCCTTCAACCGACAAGCATGAAGGGGCAATTCTTTCTTGGATTCCTAACATTCACAATATGCACACAATATGCTCCTATAAAATGCTCCAAAACTGTGACCAGCGGCCTTCATAAACTGCCGTAAAATGATAATCGCTGATTTTGGTCATTTGTCACACTGGTCCCGTTAATTAGGGAGGCGATCGCCGGGCTAATTCCAAGGGTCGAAGTATCGGCCCCCTCCGAACCGCACCACGAAAGCGTGGACAATTTAGAAGTGGTCCTTTTTGGCACGCCAGCGGACGCCGGCTGTGGCCCAAAGAACAAGTCAGAGCCGAGAGTTATAAACAAAACAAAAATTATATTCTCAAAAATGGCAGATCGAAAACAATACTCAAGAATGCACACTCCACAATAGTTGCATACAATATTGTCACCAATCAAACAACGTACTACACAGTACAATCAGCCACACTCGAAACAACGGACACAGACAACAATACGCACTACAATGCAGTCGCATGCATTGAACAACCAAGACACTTAAAGACTAAAGAAATAGAAAACCTATTCAGTCCAAAGTTCTTGGAACAAAAGTCTGGATGATACTCTTCCGAGAATCACTCACTCAAAGTCCAGCGTTGTTGTCGTTCCGCTGCCCCCGAAGTTTCTCTTCCAGGAAACCTCGCCGATGTTTCTCTTCCAGGAAACCTCGCGTCTTCAATTGGCGACTCTCCTAGCTTCAAAATTCTTCGCCGGAAACACGTCGGCTTCACACACGCAGCTGTTGCTACGCGTTTTCGCTCGATAGCGGTAGACACACGCTCTTGCCTGTAGCTCGAGCCTTCACCCCTCAGGTGGAAATCATCTTCTTCTCCTGCTTTGTCTCTACGGACAAGACCTTCGCCGACTACACGGCGGAATCCCTACGCGCTCCGGCGCTAACTTCCGTCTTCTCCTGATCTCTCGTCTCGGCTGCTCGATTAAATACCTTCCGCGCGAGATTCTAGAAAGTTCTGATCATTTCGTCGGCGCGATGCGCAGCGAAGGCTGGGGGAAAGGTCGAGACGATACGAGGGCCGTCCGTGACGGATGACTCAACCCGGCATCTCCACGCCCCTTTCCATCTAGAAATTTCGAGTGCTTGCTCGGCCGCCGATATGGGGTGAGGAGGTTCGTCGGCGAACCTACACTTCCGAGGGGGAGAGGGAGCGTGCCCGGGGAGCTTGTTTTCTTTTTTCTTTTTTCTTTTATCGTTGACCTCGCCGCGTCACTCCGGCGTTCCGTCGCGAGAATTTGGCGGCACGCCCTTTTTTGAGCGCTCGTTCTGTGACATCATTCTACCACCAGAAATCTCTTCAAGACCTGTTGGAGCTGTTCTATAAAAGTATACTCGTTAGGCCTTGCAAGGAACATAAATATTGCATCTAATATGGCACAAAAGTGTGGATGTTTTTTTTACCATTCAACAATCATTGTGCCAATGAACCATTCATCTTTACTTTCCGCACCATTATCATCCATAGGCCATAATTATGTCCACTTCGATCGCGAAATAGTTACCATCGTGTACGGTGAGCACATCATCATCACATCACATCCCTTTAATACCTTAAAGACCCCCTTGTAGGGGGTATTACATAAGGGGTGGGTTATAGGTAAATGTACACAGGTTTTCAAATGGAAATGTGCGTGGTGACCTTCTCTTTAAATGTTGATGGACACGTGATAGCTGGAACGTCACAGGGAAGGTCATTCCAGTCCACTCCTACACGGGGAAAAAAAGAGGCAGAAAAAGTAGTAGTGTGAGCATGTGGACGGGCAATTTGAAACGCGTGGGCAGTGCGGTGAGATATTCGCGTCGGTGGGACGATGTAGGGTGCTTGATTAAGAGGGCTGTGAAAGAACTTGTGCAGCAAACAAAGGCACAGTATATCGCAGATGGACATGTAACCTTTCTGACATGTCACAGGCCACGCTTGGGTATCCTGCAACCACGGAATTACATTTGGCACACACCATGGCTTAGTATGACCAGATGGTGCATTGAGATTGCTATGAAATCGTGTTGAAAGCAAGCAGCTTAACAAATATGCGTTGAAGGCTATTTCTCTACAAGATCATTCAAGACTTTACTCGTGTAGGCTGTGTGTTAGTGTTCAAAGGGTGCGACTGCTGATTCAATGGTCGCGCAATTGAATCCCAGTCGTGCTTCTCGAATTTCGATTAAATGAACATGCCAGAAGGCTCTACACTTAAATTTAGATGCCCGTTGAAAAGTCCCTAGTTGACATGCTCGAGTCTTTCTCGAATAGTGATTTTGGGCCTCGAGAACACCAAAATATATTCCAACATTATATTCTAATAATATATCCCACTTACCAGGAGATCACTGCAGATCGAATGTTTTCCCGTTCCCTAGCTCCTATCGCTTTCCTGCCCGCCTCCTCAAAGTGCCCTCCAAGTGGTGTCCCTTTTTACCACATTGTCTTCGGATACACTGGAAATCCCCCTCTCTCCCCCGCATCGCAAGTCAGCCTGTCATGTAGATAGACGAAAAATGATAAGATGCACTCCTTGCATCGTGGAGTCCAGACACGTGAGTTCGCAGCATGTACAAGAGTTCCAGAGTAATTGCTCCGCCTGTGTTTTCTCCTCGATATTGAGTACAGTGCTGACTCAAAGTTGGCGTTACAACGACTACACCATGGCCTACCCGAAATATGCGGCCGCTTTATTCATACGCTGTCTCAGCGTGCCATGGTCTAGCCACCTAATGTTCTTTTTCCCCCAATGGTAGAAATCACTCCAATTAGCATGGTTTTGCGAAAATTGTATTCCTTTTCTTCCTGAGCCGCACTGCTGAAGAACGTGCTGACATATTTTGGTGTTACAATGACTACATCGAGGCCTACCTTTAGAAAATCTCACTGGGCGGTCATTAAATACCTCTTCAAGAAGAGCTTTAATGTGAATCTTCAGCGGATCTCATTCCACTCTCCAATTGAAGGCAATAAAAAGGCTGATGCCCTTGAGCGTGTAGTGTGGTCTGGTGTTCTCAACGCAAGAGCTCCTAATAGTTACTAGAATGACAACGATGTAACACGCCATCACTTCAGAATGACCAACAAGTATTCACATTAAGAATGTAGAGGCCACACAGTTTTCTCGAAAAAAAAGCGGTGCCCTTGTACCGCCTATAAGATCTGACTTCGCACTCACCTCGGCTTGAATGTACTAGTTCTAATACACTCTACCTCAGCTTAAGCATTCAAAAGTGGGTGACCTGCTTCCCGTATTGTATCTCCTGTGTTTACATCAGTAACATTCAACATTTTTTTTCGGTTTTGCCTGCCGTTTCATATGGTAATAACAGAGATTCGTCCGTAGCCCACATAATAGGTGGTCATAGGCAACTGGTATTTGAATATTTCCGTTTGGTTTTTTTTCATGGGCCCGCAGCAACTAACATGTGAATGTAACAATTTTTATTGCCTTTCTGCAAGACACTGAGCTGTTGAAATCGTAGTGACAGAACTCCATTGTTCAGGAGCTTCTCAGGCGGAATAATTGTGGGTCGTTTAGGCTAAGCTCTTTCCATTTGCGCTTCTTTACTCCCTGTGCTCGTCCAATTGTATGCGCAACGACACATACCACAAGCTGATTCGGCCAGCTGCAACATCACCACCACCACCACCTATACCTGGCCACATGCACGGTGAAATGAGAGGGCCTTGGAGGAGGGCAGGGGGAATCAAATGGTTGAAGCTCGCTCACTAAAGTTTTTTCCCATGCCGTAATCTGGCATCTCTTAATCCTTCGTACTGCCTATCTGTTCATATTTGTCTTGTTTGTCTATGCCATGTGCATAGAACGTATCACTACTTGCGTTATCGTGCAGCAAAGTATTGCGAGCATCCTTTACTGGTAACTATGTTGAAATGATTGATCTAAACTTTGTGCTCCCAATTTATGTTCTATTATATCTAGATTACTTATCAGCAGCAGCACCGCTATTGGCACGGCGACTGCAACACTACTGTTTGCTGTTACCACTGCCTGTGAATTTCTCATGACGAGCCTTCAAATGGATATAATGAACATGTTCGGCTGCCGAGGACGTACCATGCTTACTGGCTACGTATTCAAGAAGGTCAGTGCTTTTTTTGCTGTTAATTGCACCTAGGTCTTGGATAGATACACATGAAGAAACCAACACAGTCCTTTATGGTGGACTGAGACAGCCACCTGAATCCGGATTTGGAAGTGCGGACTGTTCGTCACGTGACCTTGCAATAGCGATTCTTCTCCGCGTCTCGTCTACACGGCTCGCGGACGAATAACCCTAGCTTCTTTTTCGCATCAGGATTCTGGAGGCTGGAAGCTGTAGCTTCAGTGGGAGAACCAACAGTGTCCACGGCAACTATCGCGCTTTTCGTCAGTTGTAGCCGTACGGCTGTCATCGCCTCGATGTTAATTCATCCCATGCTGCTGCATGGTTCAGTTAATCTCGCCGGCGGTATTACAATTGTATCACCTCTGAAAGACGTATCGGTTGAAAGGCGTGGTGATTGGCCGGTTGGCGAACAGCGGGGAAGTTTCTGATTTTATCCTTACACAAGCGGAATCCTACGACAGGAAAAGTGGTGCGGTGGTGGAGAGCAGTTGTATCATAACACAGCCCTCGTTTCAACACTGCTGTGAACCGAGAGGTGAAAACACGATGTGCAGTAATGCAATGTGCATGGTCGGTACCTGGTGTGTGCAGAAAAAAGACTACTGGTATAGGTTGTCTCATCAGTGTCATCACCCTACCCTTCTGTCATATGCAGGACACGACCCCACAAGTGACCGCAGCGAGGTTACTCTTCAGTGGCTCTCTGTACGCAGTTTTTTTCTTGTCATACAGCACCTACACTAGTAACGCTGTTTTTACGAAACAAATTACAATCATCGCCAGTGCTCGGCGCTTGGCAAATTAAGTGTCGTCACAGTGCACCAGACTGCGGTGTCGTTATCTGTATGCCTCCACTCACACTGTCGACTATACTCTCTAACCGGTCTGCTGGCAGCCAGCCTCTAACTGTGGTCGAGAGTAATCTCGCTCTGCCCTCGTCCACAAGCACCCCGTCCATTATGTGGATCGGCCTGAAGGTGGATTAACCGTCCGCGTCTACAACAAATCAGAATTCAGTCCACCGTCTGGATGCACCTTTTGACACGACTTTCTAAATTGCTAAAGGTATCGCTCTCTTCATTTTATGGTATTCATTTCTGTGGTATTTATATATAAGCTATTTACTTGTAGATTTATTTATCACATGAAGTTGCATTGTTTCACCGCTTTTTGCTTTTCAATGACTGTGTGAAATGACCACTGTTTTACACGAACTCATTTTTATATGTTCTTATAATATATTACGTTATAATACAACTCATGTACACTTAGTTACTTTATTTTGTTGTACGCTGTGCATAACTGCCGTAGAGGGCCTTCACGCCCTCTCAAATTGATTGCTGCAGCTTTTAGCCTGAATGATCCATTAACAAATTGTAAAAAAAGGTGTTGGAAATAAGGATTTGAGTCATTGTTCGATTGATTTCTGTTTTACCGGGATGTGTTTCTGGGTTGGTTAACTCATACTGAGTTAACCAACTGGGTTTATTGGGGTTTGAAAACGCGTTGGAACACTCAGCTGGTGTATCTGCACGTGCAGCCGCCAGCACTGAAACAGTCTTGTCATTTCAGGTAACGACAATGTCCACTCTGACCAGAGCACGCTACACGGCCGGCCGCATCAGTTCGATCCTTTCAGTCGACTGTTGGCAGATTGGCACCTGCTGCTTTACCGTTGCCCTGCCCCTTTTTGGGGCCTTGTCGCTTCCTTTGGTCTTCTGGATGCTCGCAACGCGTGCCGGTGTCGGCCCTTCGCTCTGCTGCGCTGCGTGGACCGTTATTGTGCTCTGCCTTCCCTTGTTCTGCTCTTCCTACCAGAAGTTCATATGGGTGAGTTCAGGTGCGTTTAGGTAGGCGAACCTCTGTTAGCCTTCTTCCAGTGATTTTGTTTGCTGCGCTTATGTAGTGAACTTCTTGCACAGTGCGAAATTTATCTAAACCATCCGCAAGCTTACGGGTCCCTGTCCGTGATTACTTGGCTTCTCGTATGCGGTGACTTGCGGAACAACACTGGTTATGTAATCATTCATTGCCAAATATTCATGGTCAGTTTTCGTGAGTGGATGCGAGATTGGAACAAGCCCAAAGTAACACAGCTCAGTTGCGGGCAACAAGCATCCTTGTCTGGTGAAAAAAAAACCGATGCAAATTCAGATCAAACCAAGGAGTGATGAGCTGAATGCAAATGCAGACATATAAGCGGACATCGCATCACAATATTTTGCAGTTCATTTTATGCACGCGTGGTATTAGAGACAAGTTGCAGGTGCCACGGAGTTCGAAAAGTGGGTGCAGTATGTGTAGGTTTACTCAAAGTGTTCAAGGATCGCTTGATTATAGGTAAGCTTTTGTAGTCTGTATCTGGACAGTTACACACTCACTCTTTCTAGCTTTCGTGTAGCTCTGTGTCACCTCCAGAAAGACTACGGAAAGCGACGCTTTGCTGCGTAACACAACGACGCGAGAAACTGTGTATACCTTATGGGGTCTACAAGTTCCCCTTTTAAGCAAAAACAAGCTTAAATGAGCTTTCTTGGGGCTATTGACCATATGACAAAGGTTTCTAAAAAAAAAACAATTCTTCACACACGTATACACTTCACACATATGCATTAGGTGCACATGTAATATGTTTTACATAGGCACGTATGTAGCCTAATCTACAACGCTCCATTATTTCGTATGATTCCTTTTGCCGTAACATTTTATATCAGAAAAAATGCAAAGTGCTGTTCCCGCTAACAAGGGTGAAATTTCTATTCTATTCTGCTGTGACAATCATACGAACATGGGAGAGAGAGCATAAATTGAGAGAAAGACAAAGAGGTCGACCAGAACTGTATTTCGGTTTGCTACCCTGAACAGTGTGGACTTAAGTTTTAGATCAGCAGAGCGTGAATCAAATGGGCTTGGAGCTCATTTTAAAAATCTCCAGTCTCTGAACGTCTGAGGGCTCAAGAGGCAAAAAACAAATGTTTCTTTTTATGTTTAATCTACAACGCATTGTAATAACACGGTCTCTGGATAAAGGCGCTGGTAATAAAAAAATTGCCCGCAGCTTCCCTCGGGGGAACACTGAGGAGGATGCGGACCATATAATTGGTTAACGGGGTGTTAAAGTGCGACTTACTTGGGTCGATGGCTAAATTGGTTAACGTGGTTGTGAAATGGGGTGTTAAATTGCGACTTACTTGGGTCGATGGCTAAATTGGTTAACGTGGTTGTAGGAGGGGGTGTTAAATGAGTGAACACGTACACACGTATGCGAAAGGGCGGCGCTGGTCGAAGGGACGTCGATCATTGTGTTTGTGGATTCGTTGGAATTCATTTCACCGCGACCTTGGACGTCGACGCGCCGTACAAACCAACCGACGAGCGGCAACTGAGCGAGCGAGCGCCGACCTTGAGTATATATACAGCACGACGGCGCATGCACTGTCAGCTGTTGAATGTTCTCGAAGCGCGACGCCACATGCGCGTCCACTGGAGAATCAGGAGAATTGTAGATGTCGAACGCGGTGTGTAGAGGAGGAAGGGTGCACAGATGGTGGAGGAGTGAAGCGCGCGCGGTGTGTAGAGGAGGAAGGGATGCACAGATGGTGGAAGAGTGGGCGACGGCGCGACGGCGCATGCGCGCGCGTCAGCTGTCGAATGTTCGAGAAGCGGTGTGGACGGCGCGGACGACGCGGACGGCGCACTACAAGGCGCGAGTATAAGATGCTCCGCATCTAAAATGACCGAGATTGAACAGCTGATCCCGCATCGCGAAGTGCAACGCCATAGTTGCTGAGGCGTCGTGTTCGGGCATTTGAAAAATAAGGCGAACCCTTCCGGAGACTTTTCAAATCATTCAATAGAGAAACCAATCATTATCGGCACGCAGACATAAACAAGAATAAAACTACGGGAGCAAGTAACCGTATAAAAAATGAAAACTCGGAATTGTGGTAATATGTGTAATAATAGCGGAACTTCTGCCCCAACCTAGTACCGACGCAGTTGCGGCTTGGTTTGAATTAGTTTAATCCAGCATGGTCAGGCCCAACGAGGCTTAATTCGGCACAGGGTCACCGAGTCAAGCCTAATGAGCCCCCCTCAGTTCTTATTTTTTTTCAATCAAAATATAAATCTGGCTTCATCCAAATAATATTATCCGGTTAGTATGTCTCCAAACGTCTTCGATGGCACTTTCCGGGTGTCTTGCATTGTCAGGTTTTTATTTTCTAATAAACCGAATTAGTCTAACCCAGCATCCCTCGTGCTTAGCCTGTCTAGGCAAATTTGGCTTAACGCAGTTGAGCTTGGCCTGTACTTGCTTTGTTGAATTAGCTGAGAAATTCGGCTTGATTATTTAGTCCTCATAGGGACAACACAATTAGGTGTGGTTTATTACGCTTGTAACGCTTAGCTTGTCGACCATTCTGAACAAAGCTTGAATTGACCATGCGACACTTGGCTTAATTAGGCTCGCCTTACCTAGCTTTAAGTAATTATTTTTGCTGGATCATGCTCAAGTTCGCTTTTTACACTCGACCATGCTTAAATAAACTTGGCTAGGCCCCAACAAAGCTTGACTTCGGCTTCACGCACCGATGACATAGCCTGGCTGAGTTTTCTCTTTGAACGAAAAAGACTGATGAATATAATAACACCTCGACTGTCAAAACTGTTTTCGGGTTCACTTGCTGCAGGGAAAAGTGGTATCTGCTCGCGATGAGCGACTGAAGGTCATCTCGGACATGCTGGCAACAATCCGAGTCGTCAAGATGTACGCCTGGGAAGACGCCCTCCAGGAGAATGTCACGAGCTTCAACGAAAGGGAGCTGAAGTGGCTTTTCCGAGTCAACCTCTTGGACGCCGTCTTAGACTGCATCTACTCATCCACAAGCTCTGTGGTGTGTGTCGACTGATGCAGAGATAACTTTCTCTTTTTTTAGCTACTTGTGTCATAGGTTTACAAAGGGCTAAAATGGCAATCCTTACTCTGAGTCAGTAGGGTGAATTTGATGCATGCCGAAAGTAAGTGCTATGACAATGTCCTCTCGCACATAAAAGCTTAATCATGCGTGAATAATACCTTTGGCGATACAGGAAAACTGCTGAATGCAGACTACTGTTGCATCTACTTTTCAAGTGTTGGCTTGTATTGTTTCGCACTCTCATAGCGTTTAACAACAAACCAGCAACTAGGGGAGTTATTCTTCTACATTTCAAAAGGTCCAGCCGCATGAAGAGCATGATCACAAAAGAGAATACACATGCTTCATTCTCTACAATATGGAACAACCTCGGCTGCTCTGTAGTTAATCATGTCTATAACATGTTCGCAATGTCGCATTAACTGCTTAGCCTGTGTGTCGAGGGAATGTCGCGTTCACTGATTCTTCTGCAGCTTCTGGCTTTCCCCTTCTTTGTGAGCTACTGGTATAACAGAACATCATATCAAATAACCTCTTCTTACTTAGGTATTCGTCTGCATTGTCAGTTAGCTTTCATCAACAAAGTGCAATTGTCTCCTGTTGATTTCCCGTCCGATGTTCCTGAGGGTTGTGGAATAGATCATATTTAAAACAAGAACCTTACTGTCTTGTTGGGCAGTCCAGTGAGCGATATACGCAGGCAAGTGAAGTCTTACGAAAAATAAACGCCATCGATGACGTCAAGTCGCAGCATCGACAAACAAGTCACAAATCTCATACACCTGTCGCATCAGCATGACATCACTATGAAGTTATATTATCATGCCTTCACACGGCATAACATGGCGTGAGTAACGCCATGTGATCTCATGGCGTTTAGTATGGTTTATACTTCAAAGTAAAATTGGTATGCGCTGCAAAATAGCAACCAAGGATACAGTAAGGCTTTCGCATTCAAGTGTCACAGATTGTAACCTGCGGCCAAACTTTTCAATTTTAATTATTATAGCAAGGACGCCTCGCAGCAGTTCGTTTAGAATCATACTTTTCTTGGGTGGCTGTATACCACATGAAAGTATCATTTCCATTAATGAAAATCGCTCTCTTGCAACATCCGCCATATCTCTTCGTGATTCGTGTAAAACGTGGCATACCAACATCAATGAAAGTTACACTGTTGCGATGTCTTTCACCAACACTCGAGCCTTTTTATCTCTTTATGAATGGCGTTCTGTTCAAAAGAGCTGCAGTGCCCACTTACCCCACAATCTGATGACGGTAAGGCCGGCACTCTCAGCTGACACCTTTATACAAGCCGAGAAAGACAAGGCGAAAAAATTGCACGCCTTCGCCTTATTAGGTCTTCGTAGTATCAACGTTAATAAAGCGAAAGCCTTAGATAGGAAAAGCAGCCTTCGGTATCCTGTGTCGTAATGATAAAAAAAAAATCATTGAATGACGTACATGACGTAAACATGACGCCACTTGTCTCTAAATTTTGTGCGTCACGCATTTTCAGTGCGCATGTGTGTATGTGTTCGAGTATACCTTCATGCCAAATTAAAGACTGTAACTTTTTTGCGGGGGGGGGGGGGTGTATGCAGGGGTGAACCCCTCAGCCCTCTAGCTCCGCCGACGTCATCTTTACGTCACTATGGCGTCAGTTAACGTCACCTAACACGAGTAATCACATGGCTTAGTGAAGCGCAAGCCATTCTCTGAGGCAGTGCTGCAAAAACTAAATGATGTGCAGGAATACATTGTGGGGAGGATCAATGTAATCTAATCAGAAGAAGAGCAAGGAAAACAGTACTAAGGTTACTTTCCTTTCCTGTAATTTGAGGGAAATGGCCAATTGTTTATTCCGCTAGGGAGGTTTGGATGATTCCTTGCCATAACACTTCTGGGGGTTCTAATAATCAACACATGGTAAATAGAAATACGTAATTTATTCGCAATGTAAATCTTATGAAAACATATTTTGTTGTTTTCTTATTATTTCATGGTCGTCAGGCAATAAATATGTGCACGAAGTTTTAGATCTTTGCTTACTTCGACAATTTGTCATTAATATGTTCATGAGTAATTTTTTTTGTTTTAGTAGATGCCGATCGGGTTGATGTCGTTTTTGTATCTCCTATTTTTGAATGATTTGGTAATAAGAAAAAAGCTCAATATAATCTGATTCATGAAGTCGCTTTGTGTGAGGTATAGTACTTTGGTGAAATCACTTATAGAGATGGCGAACTACTGTAGAAAGCTCTTTTAACAATTCAGCAGAGGGAATATCTTGTTTCAGACGGCATGTAACATAAATCCACACAACCGCCCATAAACTATGAACATTCAGTAACAATGATGTTTCCGCTTTATTTTGGTTGCAATAGTTCTGTACAAATACGTACATACATAAGAGATGTTGTAGAGAGTATGCTTTCTTACACAATAATACACTAATTATTAACCTTCTGCTGTGTCATGACGATTTACTTGACAGCTTATGATCATCTTGTTCTCGACTCTACCGATACTGGAACCGGGCATCGTTCTCACACCAGCATTGGTTTTTACTTGTGTCTCGCTGCTGTACACAACAGACCTCGCCATGAGCACCTGCGGACAGGCCCTGAGAAATCTCAGTCAAGTAAGTAAACCGAATAATATCGCACCCATATAGCATGCGTGTGGGGGGCAGTGTGGTAAAAAGGTGGCTGCATCCCCCTCCCCTGCCGGTCGCCCAACATGAATGAAGGCAACATCTGCCTTATACATTAACAGAATAGGGAGGAGGGGCGCTGCGACGAACATTCACCTCCCCTCAAGGAGAAGACTGCGCACGCCTTATATCCATGGACTCACTTGAGGAGGGATCAGAATGTATTTGTGTTTCCACGTAAAATAATTTTAGTGTATCCTATGCAGTCTCCTAAAACACAATGGCGAAAGCCATGGGTAGGAGTTTGTCCTATTGTAACGGGGAATATTTCATACGTGAACGCCGGGTAGGCTAACATTGCACACAGTATGCAAGGATGCAGGACGAGTGGGCAGTTGAAACACAGCACCACAACAACATCGTCGTCTTCATTCCGTCTGCGTCGTTTCTGCACCCGTGCCTGAGGTACCTTTCTATACCCGTGACATTATCCCGGGTGGCAAAGCACCGTCCCGGTGCCTGCTGTTATTAGACGGACGGGCCACTGTAATAGGGCTTCAGGCGAGACACATGCACAATGCCACTTCTGGATGTAACAGTGCGGTTCGTAGTAGGAGAAATTTCATAGGGGACAGGTGTGACTTGGCGCAGAACTCGGTAAGGCCCAACGTATTGCGATAAAAGTTTCTCGCACAGGCCGACACGACGGGATGGCAGCCACAGTAGCACGAGAGAGCCCGCAGAGAAATAGACATCCCTATGTCGGCTGCCGTAGAGTGACTTCTGTGCTCTCTGGGAAGATGAGAACCTGGTGCGGGCTACTGTACGTGCGATCAGAGCATGAGAGATGGCATCTAGTTCGTACGAAGTGTTGGATGGAAGGTCATGCGCAAGCAGGGTATCGAAAAGTAGTGAGGGATCATGGCCAAAGAGAAGATAAAATGGTGAGGAGACGGCAGTTTCATGACGGGACCAGTTGTAGGCGAAGGTTACGAACGGAAGGGCAGTGTCCCAATCGGTGTGGTCGTCAGAAACACACATAGCAAGCATGTCCGTCAGTGTGTGGTTGAGGCGCTCAGTAAGTCCGTTGGTCTGAGGATGGTAAGAAGTCGTAAAGTTGTGCCGCGTAGCACAGGATCTAACGAGGTTGTCAACTATACGAGACAGGAAGCAGCAGGCCATGGTCCGCGAGTAGGTGAGAAGGAGCACCATGCTTAAGGATGATGTCATAGAGTAGGAAATCTGCGACGTCTGTTGCGCAGCTGGTCGGTAGCGCTCAAGTAATTGCATACCGAGTGGCATAATCTGTAGCTACTGCTATCCATTTGTTTCCCGTTGCCGATATTGGGAAGGGCCCTAACAAATCCAAACCCACACGATGAAACAGCTCGGTGGGGACTTCAATAGGTTGAAGGTGACCGGCAGGGAGAGACGTAGGCTTCTTCCGACGCTGGCACAGGTCACACGCTGCAACGTAGCGGCGAACAGAACGATAAAGGCCCTTCCAGAATACCCGTCGGCGGACGCGATCCTAAGTTCTGGAGACCCCTAAATGTCCAGTAGTTGGGGCGTTGTGAAATTCTTGCAAGATGTTCTTGCGCAGAAGACGTGGGACGACGAGCAAATGTTCCGCACCATCGGGCTGTAAGTTGCGGCGGTACAGAACGTTGTCTTGAAGAAAAATTGCCTCAGTAAAGGGTCTTTATGGCCGGATTGAAGACGCTCAATCATCAATAGCAGCGATGGATTTCGGCGTTGTTCGTGGGCTATTCGCATAAAATCTGTCATGGCAAGAATGTTGGCATCAGCTTCCAACTCAGAGTAGTCAGGTGGATCAACAGGGTGTCGAGATAAGCAGTCGGCATCGCTGTGAAGGAGAAATCTACACTACATCGTACACTACAGAGAACGTGCACTACAGAGAACCAGACTTGTTCACTACAGAGAACGTGTACTCCGGCAATCATGATGCCCATCACCCGAGTCTTCCTGTAGGATCCTTAATGGTTGACAGCCAGCAGAGCGCATGGTGGTCTGTGATGACTGCAAACGTGTGTCAATATAGGTATGCACAAAATTTTGCGATAGCCCAGATGAGAGCCAGGCACTCTCGCTCAGTAATTGAATAGTTCCTTTCCGACTGAGAAAGTAGGCGGCTGGCATACGCTATGACACGGTTTGTGCCGTTCTGCATTTGTGCGAGTATTGCCCCTATGCCATGGCCACTTGCGTCGGTGCGTAGCTCCGTTAGAACGGCTGGGTCGAAATAAGCCAACAGAGGTGGGGATCTGAGCACAGAAATCAACGACACGAAGGAATGTTCTTGGTCTTCACGCCAGGAAAAAGCCACGTTCTTTTTGAGGAGATCCGTGAGGGGCGGAGCGATTTCCGCGAAGTTGCTGACAAAACGGCGGAAATACGACCAGAGTCCCAAAAAGCTGCGGACTTCTTGCGTGGAACGTGGGACCGGAAACTCGCGCACTGCACGGACTTTATCAGGGTCGGGTTGTACACCAGCAGCGTCAACAAGGTATCCAAGCAGCTTCATCTGACGGTGCCCAAAGGTGCACTTCGACGCGTTAAGCTGGAGGCCAGCACAGCGAAAAAGCGTCAAGGATGGCCGATAGATGTGGAAGATGGCTTTCGAAGGTTGGCGAGAAAATGATGACATCGTCTAGATAGCACAGGCACGTCGACCATTGAAAACCGAGAAGAAGTGAGTCCATCATGCGTTCAAAAGTTGCTGGCGCATTGCACAACCGAAAAGGCATGACTTTAAATTGATAAAGCCCGTCATGGGTGTTATGAATGCCATCTTCCCGCAGTCGCGGTCATCTACTGAAATTTGCTAATATCCAGATCGTAGGTCTAGGGAAGAGAAATACTTGGAACCATGAAGGCAGTCAAGCACATCATCAATTCGAGGTAGGGAATAGGCATCCTTCTTATTCGATTGAGATGGCGATAGCTGACGCAGAACCGCCAGGTTTTGTCCTTCTTTTTAACAAGCACAACAGATGATGCCCAAGGACTGGTTGAAGGCTCTATGACGTCTTTGTCGAGCATTTTCTCTACTTACTTCTGGATTATTTGGCGCTCTGAATGAAACACACGGTAAGGATGCTTATGAAGGGGACTGGCGTCGCTAGTGTCGATACGGTGGGCTACGACGCTCGTGCGGCCCAAGGAACTGGTCGTCGATATCAAAAATGTCGAGGTAAGCAAATTGAAGACCATGGAGCGCTTCAACTTGGGACGGTGACAGGTCGTTCGATATCATTTTGTCTAGGAAAGCTCTACTTAGTGCGGCTGCGACAGGTTCGGCTACGGTCTTGATGTTAGGAGTGAGAGATGAAATTGGACATTGCTCTAGAGTGGATAGTTCTGTCGAGGCAATACCTTGAGGAATGACCTGGGTAGACACGAAGAAGTTGAGGACAGAGAGAAGCGTCTTGTTGTCGCTAATTCTCACTATGGTATGAGGAAGTATGATGTTGCGGGAAAGGGTCAAGTCAATGAGTGGAGCTGTCAAGTAGTCGGCATCAGGAACAGGTGGGAACGGCGACATATAAGGGTACACAGTGGCCTGAGGCGGTAATCATAGACACTCCACGGACCGTAGCCGTGTGCGAGCTGCAGGAGGGACATCAGAGTACACAGGCCGCTTTAGCTGTAAAGTGCCAGTTGAACAATCAATGAGGGCTGAATGCGCGGTAAAGAAGTCAATGCCGAGAATCACGTCGTGTGGGCAAGTGTCTAGAACAACAGCAAAGAGAACTGAAGTGTGAAGGCCGGCAACAGTGAAGCGGGCAGTGCACATACCAAAACTGATGTTCGGCTGCCGTCGGCTACTCGCACAGTCGAAGACATGGCAGGGGTAAGAACTTTTTTCAAGCGGGATCGAAGACGTGAACTCATAACGGATATGTGGACACGATTGTCTATTAGAGCTGTAAGCTGTAACGTTCAGGCTATCGATAATAACACCAAGTAAATTTCGTCTCGAATTACTGGTCGGTAGAGGTTTTTCGGTCCAAGTTGTCAATGCAGCGCCACCTCCAGGAGCTGCATCATTAGTTTCCCGAGAACTCCCCAGAATATGCCGGTGGACGGGGAGCGACGGCGTTGATAGGAGCGCGGCTGGCCAGCCCTAAGGTGACGGCGAGCGGCTGCACCTGGACATCGGCGTAGGATGCTTCGGAGCGTTGCGTAGAATGGCTAGGTGGCAGGTCCTGAAGGTGGTCACCGGAAAAACGAGGTAGTGAATACTTCCCACGATTCTGTCGGTGGTCGTCTAGGCAAACGTTGCCGGAAAGGTCATCTATTGCGGCAGTGGCGGGAAATGTGGCCAACGCGATGGCAAGAGAAGCATATCGGTCGATCATCTTGTGTGCGCCACTCAGATGGATTTCGGTAGCGTGAGGAGAACCGCGGGACCGACGCGGCAGCAGCAACAAGTGGGGCGGCGTGGTAGTGAGAGTTAAGATTTATGGGCTGCGGTGTGTGGCTGGAGTTTTGGGGAACTAAGACGCCCATGTTGGCAAACTCTTGTCGCACAACAGCCTGAATAAGAGAGAATTGGGGCCGAGTTGTCAGACACAGGGGCTTGATAAGCGGAAGGGGCCATGGCTTCCAGCTCCTGGCGGACAATTCTTGTGATGTTTGGAGGATTCACGAATGGACGTGGCACCACAGGATCCTCGCAACAAGAAGTCGCAGCGGTGTTCGGGAGTCAGGAAAAACGTTGAGTGATTCTCCTGCTTTTGGCTTGTTCGAACCGCCGACATTCACTGACAATTGAGTCAATGGTGGTACAGTTCTTGCATATCAGAATGTTGAAGGCATCGTCGGCTATGCCTTTCAACAAACTGCTGACCTTGCCTAGTTCGGTCATGTCTTTGTCGGCCTTCCGACACAAGGCGAGCACGTTTTGGATATAGGTGACGTACGACTCGGTGGAAGATTGAACTCGTGACGCGAGTTCCTGCCTGGTTGCCATTTGTCGAGCAACTGACCGCCCGAACAAGTCACGGAGCTTCTGCTTGCACACGTCCCAACTCGTCAGGTCTTCCTCGTGCGTCTCGTACCAGGCGCGTGCAGTACCTCGCAGGTAAAAGATGATGTTGGCCAGCATAAGCGTCTCATCCCACCTGTATTGCCTGCTGACGCGCTCGTATAAGGCGAGCCACTCGTCAACGTCAGTTGTGTCGGTGCCGCAAAATGTACCTGAATCGAGAAGATGCGAAGGAATCACAGGTGACGGAGCCGGCGTAGACTGAACGGATGGCACACTGCCTTCGGGCATCGAGGCTCGACGAAGCTGACGTCCGCTACGGAGATCCAGAGTCGGAATGTTACCCAGCACTTCCACCAAAAATATGTAACGTGGAGTATTTAATGAGTGAACGCCGGGTGGGCTAACACTGCACACAGTATGCAAGGATGCAGGACGAGAGGGCAGTTCAGACACAGCCCCACAACATCGTCGTCTTCATTCCGTCTGCGTAATTTCTGCACCCGTGCCTGAGGTACCTTTCTATACCCGTGACACTATCTTTTTATTGGTCGCGTCTGAAATAATTATGTACAAAATAAGTAAATGAGGTATATCTGGCAGAGGCCTTCGTCCTGAAGTAATAATAAGTATATGCTAAAAAAGAAGATGACCCATCCATAATCGAACGATGTAAATGGAAACGGCATCACTTTGACTTCAATACATGGCGCTTTCAATAAGAAAAAGATCATGCGCACGTTGGATCATATCGTGGCTACGGGTCGCAGTGTGCCGCAGCGTCATGTTTTCACCCGTCTTTGTTTTGAAGCAGTGTACTGTTTTGGGACGCGATGAGTCCGACTCAGCTTATTGGCTGAGCATTTGTAGTGTAGATGCAAATAGAAGCTGTCCGGTTTGTGGTGGCCCTTGTTGTGGCCGAAATCACCTCACAGTATGCGACGTGCCGGTGATCGATCACGAAATGCATCGCGTAGCTCTCATGACTCGGCGAACAAGTTGAGAAAGAGAGCACGGCTTCGGGCATGAGTACCCCGTAATTGCCCGTAGTTCTTTTGATGCAAAAGTGTCTCGCATGAATGATGCATTACTTAGTTACCGCTGTTTTACCTAAACGCTCCAGTAATCTCCAATCCAGGTGTTTCGGCAACATGCTTCTATATAATGCAGTTTTCGTCAAGCAGCAAAAGGTAGCACTCAGTAACATCAGATAATCACTTGTAGTAACAGAGAAATATGACGTCCAAGAAACAGGTCGGCTATTACCTTTTTCGCGTAGTATTATTTCTGTGAAAATATCATTTGCTGCACACGCTCTTGAAGAAGGCGCGATTAATTCAAGTGCTTACCAGAACGGAAATCGAGGTGAGCTTTTAAGAATTCATATGACATCAGGTAGCGCAAAAATATGAAGATGGTAGCCAAATACAAACATTCAAACACGAGGCGAGCGCTAATTTCCAAGTTTATTCTCAGGATTCACGCCTATTTATCGACCAGCAAAGATCAAAACACGAAATTGTCGCCTAAGCACGAACAACTTGTCCAATATGAAGTGCATCATGTCATAACATCTTGATCATCCCTTGCAAAAAAAAAAATGATACATGCAACAGGCAGTCAAAACACGCCAAAAAGTGAAAGAAAGAGATATACAGAACACATATTTTAAGGCACGATACTTCTTAACGTGGACATCGAAGGGGCTAGGTTAGCTGTGAAAGAATACAGTGAGAATAAATGGTATGGAGGTAAACCAGCCCAGGATAAACGGTTCGCTACCCTACATGTGGAAATAATACGGGGGGTTGGAAAGACAGAGAGGAAAGAGGGAAAAAAATAGCGCATCACACAGCATATATACAAGTACGCAGTCGGTACGAGTTCATCAACCTGGCGTGGAAAGTAACATCACTGTTCCAGCCACTTGTCCACGTCCGTTTTTCTGAATCACTGCAGCAGTTCTTTGTAGCTGTAAGGAAGATACAGAAAAAAATAAAAGGAAGACAAAGGGAGGTTAACCTGGTTGAAGAACTGGTTCGATACTCTGTACGAGCGTGGGGAAAAGGATCGAAATGAGGATAGAGAGAGAGAGAGACAAAGGAAAATAAAAATAATGCCCATGCACACACATACAGGGCGTTCTGATCAGAGTCATTTGCAGAAACCGGTTGAACACAGAAAGCACAGGAGTGCCTGTATAGCCTTCTTCTGCGACGTAATATTCTGTTGGTGGCACAGGATTCTTTCGTCCGAAAAAATCTGGTTGTCCAGTTGATCGAGCTCATTGCGAAACGACTGTCACTGCGAGCAGTACTGCGGTCATTCACACGGAACATGCACATATTACGCCGAAAGCTAACTCGCCGGGGTATAGGCTCATGGAAGGCTGGCTTCCACACACGAGACGGTTCCTTTGAATAAAAAAAAGCTTCGATGGTGTCTTAGGACAGCTTACTGTGCTTCCGGTACAACGCTGTTGTGTCAGTTAAAGGCGGTCCACAACCACACTGCCAGCAATGCATCACAAGATGTAGGTATCATGAACCTTTGAGAGAGCTGAAATGCCCTCTGAGCCTGTTGCTCAAACATCTGCACGCCGGGCCGACATAGTAACGTCCGCACAAAAAAGGGTTGCAAATAACACCAATGCAGGAGCAAGAAGCAAGACACATCCAATGCTAGGTAATGCTAGGTAATGTGTTTCTTCCTTTCTTTACATACCATGCCTAAAGCCTAGTTCACACTGAAACATCCACTTTCTACAGCGACCGAAATTCCCCTGCCGCCGAAACGCAGCGTCGTTCGCACTGGACGCGCCCCTCGCCGCCGAATATGCCATCTACTACGGGGCGAACGCGGGATGGATGCGCTGTCACCCGGTTGTTGTCGCGGCTCGCAAACGCCATTACGCTATCCGGTGGTGTATACTTCGACGATTCTCGTACGCAAGAAGCAAGAAAAAACAGTACTGCTTACTTTACTGGCAAGTGGCTGTCTTGTAATGCACGAAGAGCAGAAAAACCACCGACGCCAGCGGCGTTGGTGGGTTCGTTTTGCTCTGCAAGACCGCAACAAGCTCGGTCACGCCAACAGTAAGCTCGGTCACCTCTTCCACGAAATGCGGAAGTGAAGTAGGCACAGAGTAGGTTAAACTCTCGTTGGTTTTATCATTCAGTTACGTGCACTGCGGCAAAACAAGTGAGTAGGGCTTGGCCGCCATTTTTCAAAAATTCCTTGACTAGCGCTCCTATTGGTCCGCGGTGACCGATTCGGCGGCAGACGCCGCAAAAATCGGTCCGAGAGCGATCGGCGCTGAGAGGGCCCTTTCAGCGGATCTCGCCGCCGCCGAACCCGATTCGGAGCATTTTCGGCGGCCGGAATGCTCAGTGTGAACGCGGCCTAATGGTATACTTAGCCTTTGTGTGGTCTTTCTTACTGCACATGCACCTCTGCAGTGTTGCACAAATGGAGCCCATCTTGTTTTTCGCGGTGAAAACATTGTTACCATCATAACGCGATCCCACCTTTTTGACGCGATCAGAGTGGCGACGGATGTATACCGTATACATAAGTTCTTTCTATGTGATGATATGGTGCTTGGTATTTGTTGTTTATTAAGTAGGCATAGATTCCAATAATAAAACTTTGGTTGAAGTCAACGCTATAGTGTTGTGTGTATGTGTGTACCTCGCTACGGTTGTTCTATTTTTGCAATACCTGGTCTAAAAGGTATTCAAATGTATCGCTACGCTTATCGGCCTGTGCTAGCCCCTATATTTCATTTTCAGGCAACACTAGCACTCAAGAGAATAGCCGAGTTTTGTACTGCCGAAGAACAGGACAACTCATCCCGTGATGGCAAGATATCAGTATCAGCGAAGAAAGGTAATGTTCTTGACTGATATCGAATTAACTGGTGGTTCACTGTAAGCAATAGCTTACTAGTGTGCGCTGTTACGTCGCGCCACTTTTCGTGAGTCCCAAGCACGCGTTTGTGTTCAATAGTTTGCGTAATCTATTCACGAGTAAGCTCTTGAAAATCCTATTTGTTCAGCTTGTGCCAAATCGCAGTGATAAGCTTCTTGCAAGTGCCACTTGTACTGCGGGCGTGTGGATTAGTCGAGAGTTGCATATGTGCCTCGGTGTGTATATTCCTTCCTTTATCTCGTCTTGGTTTCCGAACACAAAATCCACTCACATCTTACAAGGACGCTCAATAATTAATCTGACTAATATTAGCCAAATTCTGAGCATCAGCCAGGGATATTTACAAGTCATCTCAACTGATTTAGCATGAGATATAATGCATTCGAAAAAGCAATGCATATTCTAGAACTGGTCAAATAGCAGCATTGAAGATAGATATGCAAGGTTGGCCTAGAACACATAGGACTGACGCCAGTGAGGTTCTTCCAGAGGTTAAACTATAGTGGTGAAAACAGAAATAATGCTTACAGTTTCGGTCACCGAGGCTGCTGCACGCCTTCCATGATGTTCTGCAATGAAGTACATATTGGGGCATTGCCTAAACTCTGGCACAGACTTCCGTGGAACAGTAGATCCAATGCACGGAATATGCAAGCGAGGTGCTTTGAAGGCATCTACTTCACATCCTTTGCCTACACACGGCATGACACTGTGTGTGCGCTTACCCTGACTGAAATATGCCGGCCCAAGAAATATTGACTTTCTGCTTGATAGTTCTGTGACTAACGGCTCAAGAGACCGTATTGTTACATCAACTGGAAAGAGCTTGCGGCTGAACTCAGAAACAGGCACCAAATTAAAATTAGCCAATGATTCTCATTGTTCCTCAATGTGAAATTTGAGCACAGCTCTGTACATGATTTCGCAACCTGTTACCCATCGTGTTTAATCTGTCTCGTGTGGTACATTGCAATCAGGCGAAGTGGGGCGTGGCTGCACCGTTGCATTTCCGATGGAGGCGGAAATGCTGTAGGCCCGTGTTCTCAGATTTGGGTGCACGTTAAAGAACCCCAAATGGTCGAACTTTTTGGAGCCCTGCACTAAGGCGTCTCTCATAATCATATGGTGGTTTTGGGACGTGAAATCACACATATCAATCAATCATGTTTTCGGGAAGAAGGGCGAGGCACCCCGATGCTGTGCAGCAGAAAGGGGCACCGCATCTGTTTTAATTAAAAAGAAAAAGAGATGCCTGCAAGTTCTTTGCAATCTAATCTATTTTTCCTGCCTTACACACTAGACACATATCTGAAGTTCCCTGAATTTTATTTACGAGGATCGACCTTAACGTTTCAACTTTTCGCCCTGACATGCTCAAATAAAAAATTTTTTTCTTCACCGCGAAGTAGGCCCACAAGTGGCAGCACCATCGAAGCATTTTGTGTATAGGTCGCTGGCAGCACATATGCAGTAGTAAATTATTCACGGATATAAGCAGGGCAGTGTAGGGCTAAGTAACGCACACACTTTAGTTGCCACCGCCTTTAGTTTGAGCTATACCGGTGCAATTTTGACTCCAACGCGTAGATCAGATTCGCTAAATGACACGATTATTTCGAGACATTGCCCATCTCAGTCTTCATACTTAAAAAATGCATCGTTGGAATCTGTGAGCGACGAAGCATGAGCGACGAATCTGTGAGCGACAAAGCGACGCTTCGCTGTGAGCGGTTTGAGTCGATTGTTGTCGAATAAAGTGCATTGCCTCCAGCCTCCAGGTAATATATAAGCTCGTCGATTCTACAATAATGCACGAAGACAGCCAATAATTCCTATTACGTGTGAGAAAAACGTAATCTGCCAATAAATCAGCTGCTGGCCTGCACCGAGAGACATGCTTTCGCACTATGCTTGATGCGTTTTTAGATGCGAACCATTTCCTGGCGTACTTACTTCCCTGTCGGTTCTTACGTGGGACACGCCTGCTACGCGCTAAGCGCGTCCTGCAGGACAAAAATAAAGCTTTTCCATCCCATGCATGCACTTTGGCGTCGTTCCGTGTATTTATCTATATAGCCACCTACGTCTGAGTGCTCTCGTGATCACACCTCAACTTGGGGTAAGCCAAAACTAGTATACGAGGGAAAGATGGTTTAACGAATACGACTTGGTGGTCACGACATGAACGATGTCACGATTCTGTCGCGCACGCCGTCAAACAATTCCCGCCATACACTTGATGGTGTAGTCCCTAAACGTAAATACAGTTGATATGCGTGACATAGCATCATATTTACTTGTTATGGCATTCAGGAGCAGTCAACGTGGAGAAATGTTCCTTTTCTTGGTCCCTTCCGGACGGTGGTACATCAGAAGCCCAACTGGAAGACGTCAGCCTGGAAGTAAAACCCGGGTCCTTGGTCGGCGTTGTCGGATTCGTAGGTAGCGGCAAATCCTCGCTGCTCTCTGCTATACTGGGTGATATGCACGTCATAGAAGGCAGAGTCACATCCACGGTAAGTCGACAAGTAGTGCAACGAGTATCCCCCTCCAATCTATTTCTATCCGTCGCACAAAATTCGAGCAAGTGTATGAGCTTAGCAGAGACCAATAGAGACTTTTAATTGAACAAATCTTGCTCACTGAAGTGTGAGGCGACTTTGTTATGGAAACAACCTCATTTTAGACAAGCCTTAGCGAGACACTGTGAAATAACTTTTGCCACCCAGGATTTTATACAATGCACTCAATCCCAACCCTTGGGCACCTCTGCGTAGCGCCTTACATGGAAGGAGCCTGTCTTAGGGAGTATTGAAGTATGAAGCTCTAATTGCACGACGTTATCAGTTTGATGGGTATCATCATTGTTTGATGTGCGAAAGTACTTTTCCTTTGAATATATAGATGAACTCTCGTTCTAGGGCATGTAGATGACCATGGCACAGAAATACCGCCTGTTAGCATGGACATTACGTGGTTCCGAAAGGCGGAGTTTACCTTTTATGTCTGGCATCATCCGTGTTAAGGATAGAGAAGTAACAGAGGAAGAGGGAAACACTACTCACCCAGCCGAGGAAGCTGGCGCGATACGCTTTGTATTGAGGTCTTATCAGTAAAATAGATAAAGTGTAATGACAAAGAAATGCGTGCATTTATTAGGTGCCGTCAATTTGCGAACACGCGCCTATGGTCAAATGAGCCATTGAGGGGCTGAGAAACGAAAAAACGTTGCCACCCAATCAACTTTGCCGCACGCGAGTCACGAAAGGCAACACCGTGTGGTTTTGCTGGCGCTTTTTTTTTTTAAATTGAAGGGCACGCGTGCAATTACCACTAAAACTTATATTTTACCTGCGGAGCAACCGATGATGACTGCGGAAAATATCTGACCACGCAGTAATGTTGTCAGGAACGCACTATATAATTTGGCTTGTATTGCCGTGATTGGAACACGTCCTTTTCTTCAGGACAATCAACGAGCTCGGCGAACATGGCGGAAGCCCTCACGGTAGCACTCAACATTATAACCAATGAACATCGTAGAACATATAAGCGCAATGGGTTTTAATAAGCGCGATGGGTTAGATAAAAGACAAAGGAGGGACACAGCCCTGACCGTATCTAACCCGTTGCGCTGTTAACTATTCTACCATGAACTTCTACCAACTTGCCCAATTCGCGAAAACATATGAAGCTGAGAAGAGGTCTCACAACTTCACGGACTCTCAAATAAAGTGTCATTATTTCAATAACAGCCGTGTATCTGCGTGCCCATTCCGCCCCTTAACTGCAGCACTAGATCTGGAACATTGCTCCATGCTGTGCGCCGGATGTACTGCAGGAACGAGATAATGATAGAGCGAATAGTGCAGCTCGAGCCATTACTCACCCAGCGGCTGTCCTTCGTCCAGACACCTGTCTGCTACATATAGGCTCTCTAAAATCCTCGAGATATCTTGGAGCGCGAACGTCGACAATGACGAGGGTACTTCCCGCCCCACTCTCAGCAATGTGTAAAATAAGCGTATTAGTGGCGCCACCCGCAGGCGAATACACATCCGCACCTGCGTTTAAAATTTGCCATCCACCCAACCATATACGAGTTTTTTGCCCGTAGTGTGGAGGATAGCCAGAACTAGCTCACATTACATGGGAATGTGAATTAAGACCACCCAAAATCAAGACTCCTTTGATTCCGGCTCGAAAATTCAGGGCGGAACAGTGGGACACCTTGTTCGCCAGCGAAGAGAAGGAGTCGAGCTCCTAGCCCAGGCGCGGCGGGCTGCTAAGGCCAGTGGAAACCTGGGCCCCACCCACCAGCTTCTAACCTTTCTTTTTTGTATTTTCATTTTGTGTTTATTGTAAGTAATACTGTGGTTTGGGTGGACGGTCGCTCTCACTCCTGTAACACTGCTTAATATAAAGGAAGTTAAAGGAAGTAAGAGCCATGCTTAGCAGCTTGCTCTGCTCCATCTGCTTACGCCCATTATTGTCGCATGGTGTCGTAGTCTTTGTTTCACTTCAGAAGCATGTAATTCTGACAGCGATTAGAATGCAACCACTGTGCTAAGGACTTCGTAATCTTTGCTGTATTCACTTATTGAAGTGAAGTAGTTGCCATAATTGTTTCACTTCTTGCCGTAAAATATGTATATGATGATCGGTGTGCCATAAATCTTATATACTACGATGTCAATAACATGCTTCGCTTATAAAGAACACTATTCAGTGCAAAAGGTAACAAATGCAGAGAATGCCACATAAATGAGGCGGATTTGTACAACTATTTATTTAAAATACAGAGCTGAAACATGACGTTCACAGAGCAAGCATGCTGACTTAGCTTTAGACAACACAGTGCACGCGTCCTAACAAATTCATGGTTGATATTCATTGATTGACTCATGAAAATTGAGACTGGCGCCGCTTTTCCCTCTGCATTTCCTGAAAGAATGCTTCCAATATCTCGCCTGCTGCAGCATTGTGTAAAATCCAGCAGCATGTATCGTACGCTGATTTAACAAATAAACATGCTCTTTCGTGATATCATACAGTTCTTGCTGCAGCAATTGTATAATAGCTTATCTCAATTTTACCAAGTTCTCATTGTTGCTCTTTTCTAATATTTACTATACCTTGACGATAGCACGCTTCGCAATACTGCGTTTCCTTCTCTTCAGGGCCGCATAGCGTATGCTCCACAGCTGCCTGCCATTCACAACATGACCGTCAGGGACAACATTCTCTACGGCAACGCATTAGACATGGACTTCTACCACCGCGTTATCCGAAGCTGTCAGCTCACAAATGACTTCAACAGCCTGGCTGCTGCGGATATGACTGAAGTTGGCGAAAAGGTATACTTTGGCTGTGTAATCAGACTTGTGTTTTATAGAAGCTGATAAAGCAGAATAGTTAGGAAATAGATCGTGGAGTACAAAAAACATTAGGAATTCCTCTCTCACAATAATTTGTGTAACACGAAAGTGAAATGTGTCCTCACAGGGGCAGTTAGACGTTTATTGCGCATTGTTTCGCCACAAGAACAAAATAATGAATGCTACAGCAAAAACTGTAATGTCACGTGAAAAATGACAAGCAGCTAAAAACTTGAAGCGTGCACCTCAAGCAGGAATAACGCACGAAATAAGCATACAGAGGGCGAGAGCGAACTAACATCTGTCACAGGTCGGCACTTAAACCACGCTGCTCAAACGCCAAGGACGCACGAAACCAACGCACAAGTATACACAGGACGAGCGCGAACAACTGTTGCAATAGTCGCTTCGCGTGTAACCAGTGCGCTCCTTTCGTAAACGTGGCCTCTGCAGAGAGCGAAGCACTCCTTAACCACTGTAGCTTCAAAGCGAACTTGCGGTGAGAGCACAAGACGTACAAAGCGCCGCAGTCAAGAGATAAGCGCGTGAAGGAGCGAACCCGCCCCGTGGAGGTGCGCGGAGCGCGCATCGCAGTGGGCGGGGCGACGACCTTAAGAGCGCGCCCTCCGCGCCACTTTCGCGCCATCTTGCTAGTGGTGACAAAAAACGCGCTGAAATCACCGAGCTCTGAGGACCGCCGGCGGTATAAAACCGGTAATGTTATTTGAGGAGAAAACGAAAACATCAAAGTTTGTGCGTATCGATTTTCATTATTCTCACTTGAAGGTATTTGTAGCAACTAATTCCTGAAGTACAGGTATTTTGTGCGGTTTACCAAGGTTTCAATATTTTCCTTCACATTCTCTAAACAGGTGAGAGAAGGAATTTCTTCATAAGATCAGATGTCATTCTTGAAAAATTTATTTGCTGCACAAGCTTGAAGGAAAACAAGGGAGACAGGAAAGAGCGAAGACTACCAACTGTTTATTGTCGAAGCCAATATATACGCCTGCTACGCTGCGCTTCCACGATGCGCTTAAAACCAAAGATGCCGCAAACAAAGCCGTCTCAAAACAAATCAAATCAAAAGTGACTGCCACCACAATGACAAATGTGAAAAATGGCAAATTACAATTGTGGTGATACCCACCACAATCTAAACTGCGCATTCCCAAGGTGTGCGCTTTTATTTAATCTGAAACTTATCTTTTATTATTTCTTGCACCAAGCATCAACAAAGGCGTGAAAATACGAAAACGTACTCTAGAAACTTTTGTTTAAGACCCTTCAAATAGCGCTTAGCACCGAATAAAACAATAAAATGACAATTTTATAGTCACTCCAAGCAGCCCCAAGGGAGCAAACCCAAAGAAGCAGTACGCCGAGAGAGCCAAAAAATATAATAACAAACATAAAACCTTACAAAACATTACGTAGCGTCACATGGGAAATAAAACAGGAACACTCATGAACAAAACAAAAGAAAAATGGAAGAAAACACAATGCAACGCGTTACCCACAACATTACACATGACCAAGTAGGAAGACCATTTCCCTGTGCGAAAGTGAAATTGAAGGCATGCTTATGCACTTGTCATTAAATTGCCTGATAAAGTATGCTTCGATAATTTCCCTTTCGGTCTTTTCACGTGCCCTAGCCATGACTGACACATTCTCAAACTGGGGGGTGTAACCGCATGTCCTACAGTGGAAATCTAAATGACCACCATTTTTTCCTTTTACGGCCAGACTGTGCTCACGCAAGCGTTCGTTGAGGCAACGCCCCGTCTGCCCTATGTACACCCTCCCACACGACAAATTGATCAGATATACAACAGCAAATACACACCTAATGAACACGTTCGCGTGCTTTTTTGTGCATTTTGCCTTCTTTTGTTTAGTCATTAATTAACAGATCTGACCTAACTTTGTAGGCACTGAAAACACTACATCAACAGCGTACCTATTAGCCACCGTTTTTTTACATTGTGGGAAACGCTATGTAAGTGCGGCATAACATAAATAGGCCTCCTCTCCCTTCCTTCGACGCTTGGACCCCCGCCCTTATATTTTTTAAGAAGGCTTTCGCAAGCACTAGCTGAAATCTGTGCCGGGTATCCAGCCACGCCCAGACGAGCTACCTGATTCTCGAAGCTTTCAAATATCAGATGAGGGCAAGACTTGTCGAGGGCTGCCGCACAAGCTGACTTTCATATTTTCACGCCTTTGTTGACGCTTGGTGCAATAAATAATAAAAGATAAGATTTAGGTTAAATAAAAGCGCACACCTTGGGAATACGCAGTTTAGATTGTGGTGGGTATCACTTGTATTTTGCCATTTTTCGCATTTGTCATTGTGGTGGCAGTCACTTTTGAATTGATTTGTTTTGGGACGGCTTTGTTTGCGGCATCTTTGGTTTTGTGCGAAACGTGGAAGCGCAGCGTAGCATGCGTATATACTGGCTTCAAGAAACGACAATAAACAGTTGGTAGTCTGCGCTCTTTCCTGTTTCCTTTGTTTTCCTTCAAGCTTGTGCAGCAATAAATTTTTTCAAGTATGAACCAACTATAGTCTGCAAAAAAGTATTGCATCAGATGTCACTTGTTCTTTGATGGGAATAAATTCCGTGATTAAGAAGTCCCCAACTTTTTACTTAGGTGTGTTCAAACTCATAAATAGCGAAATTAGTGGCAAAGGGTATGCTGGCATGTATATTTCTTTTTATGGCACACTTTTTCTCACAAAAACCACCCTCAAAACCATGGTACTGGCTCCAATGCTGAGACCCACAGTAAAATTAATCAAAATCGGAAATTATAACCTGGACTGAGCGCCCGATATTATCTGAATACGCCTTCTAGCGAAATTTCCAGTTTACGAAGCACTTACAGAATAAATGATTCGTTTGTTCGTTCGTTCGTTCGTTCGTTCGTTCGTTCGTTCGTTTATTTGTTCGTTCGTTTTTTCGCTCGTTCAATACTTGCACCATGTTATAATCAGCTGGTATTACATGACCTGGGCCGCTTCGCTGTCCCAATTCCTTGCCTTCGCAAACTGGCTCTGGAAAGGCCAGTTACGGTCGTGGGATCAAACATGGCCGCGGCCTTTCGTCACTTGGGAAGACCGTTAATAGGGCTCCCGGCCCATGTACTCACCTGCTATTCAAGTTGGCAACACGGATGTTTCGTAAACTTTAGAGAGGGGGGCAGCAAGGTGGCCGACGTACAGAAAGATGTAAGCGACACTAAAGAGTTCTACTTGTGACATATGTCGCTATGCGATGACAAGGATAAAAATTGAGAAGTGCTATAGCTTGTCAGTGGCGGGAGTACATTAGATTGGTTGACAATGCCTGAAAAAATAATGCGTTGTTGCTCAACAACAGCAGTGTAAGCCGTAACATTTCTGGTCGAGTTTGTAAGGGGTAAATATTAACTGCAGGCTAGGCCCTTGCGCAGATTTATGAAACTGTGTAACATGCACGTTCTGGTACAGTATTTTCAAATATTGTGCCCTTGAAAAGAATTTATTTTTGAATAGGTGGTCACTAAATTAATCACTGATGAAATATTATGGCAGAAGGTTCTAAAGGGGGAAAAACTATGACCCTCCTTCTCTATATGGTCTATTGCAAAGAGTTGTGAAATAATGAAATATTTATTGTTATTCGTCTTGCATCGCAGGGAACCAATCTCAGTGGTGGCCAAAAGCAGCGCATATCCATCGCCAGAGCAGTGTACAGCGACAGTGACGTGTACCTTCTGGACGACCCACTCAGTGCTCTGGACCCCATCGTGGCTAGCCACGTCTTCAGGGATGTTATCGGCAAAAGAGGCCTACTCAGGCATAAGGCAAGCGGCGTAGAAAAGCATACACCTGCAGTTCTGTGAATTACTGAGGCGAAAGATTTTTTTTTTTTTGATTGAGTTAAAAAGTGGGGAATTGGTGTTGAATGTGAGAACTGTAGCGTTATCCAAAGTAAGCGATTTAGTAGTGTCTGGTGAAATCACAGCCGGAAACTTACTGTACATACGCTGATGGCTGTGCTTTTTGTCTACAATCTCATCTTGGTTGGCAAAAAGTGAATTGAAAGATACGAGAAACTAGGAAGACTTATTGAAGGACCCCAATTTGTCACAGAGGTTTCGTAAAGCTCTTCAAGATCAAACAAAATGGCCTTTCACACACCCATTTCGGATGACAAGACACACGAAAACACAGCTGAATAGGAAATCAACATCCATCTTAGGAATATTTTTGCTGAAATACAAACTTTTGTAAGCAACACAAGAGAAACTGCTTCCTTGTTAAAGTAGTCATAAAGCTTAATACAACCAAACAAGAGGAAATGTACATACCGAGACTTGATTCGAATGAACACCTGTTTGGGTGAGGAAGCACCGGATGCTTTGATAGGGACACATGCTTACAAGTCCAAAAGACAGATAATTGAAACAGAAATTAAATGTGCGGGCATGTGTTCCTGCTTGTTCTTAACATGCTCTAATCGGTAATGGTAAGCATGATATATCCGATGCCTCTTAAATTGGACCAATGCGTTGGCTGTCGTACTAACAGCACCACAAGCTGGTCCTTTTGCCCCTATTTCATAACTACAGTGAACATTTACTTTATTGAATTGGAAGTTACCCAAGAAATAGCTCACTTATCTGGAAGTTCACTAAACTGAGTATTCGCTAAGATGTAGAAAAGTATTGGGTGCAGCAGAAATCAAGTCAAACGTGTCAAACGGAATTCATTTAGAAAATAATTCTGCATCTTTATTTGGATTGGCGCCCTTAAAGCGCAAGAAGGGACACAGCTACCCAGAGAGTCTTATTTTTGGCAGTGAAGCTCCTTATGCCGTGGGTCGTTCCCTCCACTGTGGTATAGTACGTACCACCTTTAGTTTATGAATTGCTCAATAGACGGCTATTTGTGTAAATGTTTTTGGGAATAATATAACTAGATGGCGTTAGTGGTTTTCACAGCATACCCACTGCACTGAATGATGACGAATCAAGCGAAACGTCCATCCGTCCGTTTGCCCATCCGTTCATTCGTCCGTGCTTCCGTCCGTCCGTGCGTGCGTCCATGCTTCTGTCCATCCGTCCCTCCGTGCGTCTGTCTGTCGGTCTCTTCGCCCGTGCTTCCGTTCGTCCGTCTGTCCAACTATACATCCGTCCGTCCGTGCGTCCACCTATCCGTCTGTGCTTCCGTCTATCCGTGCTTTCATCCGTCGGTCCGTCCGTCCATCCGTGCTTTCATACGCTCGTCCATTCGTCTATGCGTGCGTACATGCTTTCTGTCCCTCCGTCTATGCGTGCATCCGTCCATCCGTCTGTGCTTTCGTCTGTCCGTCCATGATTTCACCCGTCCGTTCGTTTAAACGCATACAATTGTTGGATGAACACCCCCCCCCCCCCCTCCCGATTTCGGATGAACACTCCAAAGGTTTATTTTCTATTCGAATAGCTTGGCGTAGGAACTGAAGCGCACGTGCGTGGTTTTCCTCTTCAGCACGGCCGCTTTGTCTCGACGGCCCTGTAAGCACGAGCGATGTTGCAGAGGTCCGATGAAGGAGCGATTTGGAGGCGGCACGCATTGGCTACCCCACTGCGGCAGAGCGCGAAACTGCGTTGAATGCGTCTCGAAAATAAGCCCGGATATGGTCAAGATAGGCCAATCAAATTCGTTATACTATGATAATCACTATTCGAAATTTCCTTTAGTCAAAATGTTTTGGATAAAACGTCTAAAGATACCACAGGGGATTTTCACAAGTTCGTTTTTCTGAAACACTTCTTAAACGTTCGTTAAACTGACGAGCACGCGGCTGTATAAATTATTGCCGGCCGCAGCTTCCGCCTCAAGCTAGCTACAATTTTCCGTTCATGCTTTAATTATAGCACTAGGGCCTTGGTTGCCGTACGACTATTTTTGGTATCATTACGCTGTCGGCCTTTTCATATTTCTGCAGAAAACAATGGCTGCAGTGGCCAACTGGGTGATTCAGACGAGTGTGATTTTCTCTGTACAAGTAAGAGTTCACCCTATTGACCTAACAATGATTCCTTTGCCACTCCTTCATTCAGACGCGAATCATGGTATGCAATCAAGCAAAGTTTTTACACAACATGGACAAGCTCATCTTGGTGGACAAAAGGCGGATAAAGGTGTATGAAACACTGCAAGACCTATTGAACGACCCCAAGTCACCTCAAAACTTTCGTGAAGCTCTTCAAGATGAAACGCGGCCTGCCACAAAAAATGAGTACGTAAATATTTTCAATCATTTCACATGTCTGACATCGACTACATTCACAATAAAAATGGGCAGATCCCACGTACAGTGGGAACTGATGATATGCGAAGCACGAATGAGAACTCTTATGTCACTTCAATATCAGCACAACGTTACGTGGTGGAGGCAAATGATGCCTTACATGACTTCCGTGTCATGATTGCAATGTTTGGATGTGTGGTTTACATTCGTCATTTATTCACGTCACGTGATGCCAGATTTGGTATATGTGGAGCTATCGAAACGGCCGCGACCACGCTATGAGCGTGGTATGTTGTCACGTTCTCACATCTCACGCCTGTCAACATTATTATGTTCGCATCACTCATATCTTTCATCATCTATTGACGTCACGTAACATCAATTAGGTGTATGTAGAGCTAGTAAAATGGCTGCAAGCGAATCATGAGGGCCCAATATACGTCAATGTAGAGTTGACGCGCGTGCACGCTGCGCACAGCGACGATACGTTAGCAAAACGCGAGCACTCTATAGTCTGACGCCAGGCGCGACTGGCGCGACCCGCGTCCGTAGGCGCGGCCCGACGGCAACCAGCACGAAATGCGACATGCTGCATTTCGCACTGAAGCGTTACCAACACATTACTGCGTCTTCCTCTTTTCGTGACGGAGGGACGCTGGACGCACTGTAACGCGCATGCGTCAAAGCAACGCAACGCGGCGCGCGCCTGCGAGTATATGACAGGACTGGCGCCCGGCGTGGCAACGCCGGCGTGACGCGACGAAATTAACGCCGGTGAGCACGCGCACCGCGTCACATCGAAACGCATTGGCACCTTGACTGTGGCTAGTAGTGATGTTCTCACATGACACGCATCTCATGATTATCATGTTTGCACCAGTCACATACCTTCGTCATCCATTGACCTCACGTAACACCAAAGCAAAACGGCCGCGAGCGCATCATGAGTGTTTCATGTTGTCATGTCGTTACATGACACGCATGGCGTGATTATCATGGCTGGATGTGTCATTTACCTATGTCGTCCGTTCGCATCGCGCAGTACAGAGTTCGGTACATGTGAACCTAGCGAAACGGCCGTGAGCGCGCCATGAGCGTAGCATGTAGTCATGTCGTTACATGACGCGCATCTCATGTTTATCATGTTCGCACCAGTATCATACCTTCGTCATTCATTCACGTCACGTAATATCGAATTTAGTATAAGTGAAGCTAGCGAAACGGCCGCGAGCACATCATGAGCGTGACATGTAGTCATGTTGTTACATGACACGCGTGTCACGATTTTCATGTTACGGTCTGTCGCATATGTTCGCCATGCAATCATGTCATACCATACCAGTTTTGCAACATGCCATGTGAACGAAACCACCGCAAGAGCTGCAGGACAATGAGTTGTCAATCATGATATTCATGACATACTTGTCATGATTTTCATGTAATGACTACTCAGATATGTTATTCATACAGTCATGTTATGCCATACCAATTTTGGTCTAGATACCATTATTGAAAGAGCCAGGAGAGCTAAAAGTCGTAGGCGGATAGATAGATAGGTGAATGGATGGATGGATGGATGGATGGATGGATGGATGGATGGATGGATGGATGGATGGACGGACGGACGGACGGACGGACGGACGGACGGACGGACGGACGGACGGACGGATGGATGGATGGATGGATGGATGGATGGATGGATGGATGATGGATGGATGGATGGATGGATGGATGGACGGATGGACGGACGGACGGATGGACGGATGGATGGATGGATGGACGGATGGACGGATGGACGGATGGATGGATGGATACGCTCAATGTCGCCGAAGTTCGCTAAGAAATGCTTCGCTTTTAATATGTGTTGATGTTTACTGACTGATAAAACATAAGCATAGTAACATGGGTCAGCATAAGACCTTGGCTTGGATTAAGGAAAAGTTGAACAGCCTGTCGTTCAACGAACAAAGACAAAACCATCCACACGGGTCAGACAGAAAACCTGCTCCGCGATGACAGTTTCAGCGTCCAAGACGCGGCCGTTTCGTATATGGTGGCGGGCCATAAATCCACGGTACTTACAGCCAGCTGAAGTCACTGGAACAGGGAAAGCACCGGGACCCTTCGGCTCGCCGCCATATATGGTCCAGCGCGGCTGAAGCTGCGGTGTAGAAGTGTTGATTTTACCCGGAGTAAACGCATGTTTTATACATAGCGTGTGCTTCTGCAGACTAAACTGAAGCAGGTCATTGTTCACTGTTTTAATAAGAAAGAAATAGCAGCAATTTTAATTGCCTACATGTGCGCGCACACATTAACAAGATAAAGAAATGCTAACTGCGAGCATTTAGGGGCTCGGCTGTCAGCATTGATCAATTGAGAAGTATATTAAACGTGAACTTCTGCGCCTTTGAAGGATTTACCTACCTACCTACCTACCTAGCTGCCTACCTACCTACCTACCTACCTACCTACCTACCTACCTACCTACCTACCTATCTATCTATCTATCTATCTATCTATCTATCTATCTATCTATCTATCTATCTATCTATCTATCTATCTATCTATCTATCTATCTATCTATCTATCTATCTATCTATCTATCTAGCCACCTACGTCTTCATGCTTTCCTGGTCGTTTGGTTAATAGAATCTCTACCAAGCTTGGTATCGCATAACATGACTAAATGACCAATATCAATTGCAGGTCATAACATGAAAACAGTAACATTATTCTGATGAACCAAACAATTCCACGTCATTGTCTTGGTTCTGTTGTGGCCGCTTCGTTAACTTACATATAACACAGTTAGTATGACGTGACAAGACTGCATGACGAACCTGAGTGACTGGTCATAACGTGCAAATGATGTCACGCATGTCATGTACAACATAATTTATATGACGTGGTCTTGAGTTTGTCAGGGCCACTTATTAAAATGAATGTATGTCGAAAATGTTATTACGTACACAATTGTAAATTACAGGTGGCAACATGAAATTCATGGCTTTCATGTCATGTTTGGCGTGATCGACTTACTAATCACCACGCTCATGAAGTGCTGGTGGCAGGTTCGTTTGTTTGATATACACTAAAATTCATAATGCATGACGGGACTGAATGGCAGAAACAAATAACAGACGTAAACATGAAAATTATAGCATGCATGTCATGTACTGTATGATTTAAATGCCACGCTCATGGCGTGCTCACTGCTAGTTTGGCATCGGGATACACACAAAAAATATTATTGTGTCACGTGACTTTAAGGCAAACATGAAGGGCGGGCGGTAACATGAAAATAATGGTATATATTGCATGGCCTACATGCCACACTCATGGTACGCTCACAGCCCTTTCGCTAGCTTGGCATTACAAAGATTGGTATTGCGGGAGGTAGCTGTACAATGTACATGAATGAGAGGTGGGCACAAGAAACGTCATATTCCCTTTTTACAACCTATCATTTATGTTCTTCATTTAGTAAAGTCCTACCTTACTAATATTGTGGATGTCAAGGAAGCGATCCGGCCACGTGTGCATCATAAGCATGGCATATAAATGATGGCGTGCATAACAAGCACGCCATATTTTCCCGTTACAACATGTTATTTATGCTCATCATACAGTTACGCCACGCATTAGGTGTATGTCAAGCAAGCGATCCGGCCGCGAGCCCTCCACTATTTTGACACGTAAACCTCGCCAACCCTGGCACGCATGTCACCATTCTCATGTTTGCACTCGTCATTTTTGTTCATCAATCAATCACATCACGCATTACCGACTTCGGTAAACATCAAGCAAGCCAACCGGCTGCGATCACATCATGAGCGCGGCATGTAAATGATGTACATGAAAATCGCCTCTTGATTTTCATGTTTCCACCTTTACTTCATGTTCGTCATATAGTCACTTCCCAAAGTGCCAGCTTTTGTGAAATTCATGCAAGGTCACTATGAGCGCACTATGAGCGCAGCATGTAAATCATGCATGACATAAAATGCATGTCATGATTTTTATATTACCAGCAGTCATTCCGATTCGTCATGCAGATATATCTCGCCGTAGAACTTCTGGCATATGTTCATTTAATCAAACGGCCGCGAGTTCGCCGAGGCACTAGCGAGGTGAGCGAGCTGGACTGTTTAGGGGGCGCAGCGCACCGAGAGCGCGCGACGGCGAGAGAAAACAAACGCGGTACTTTCCCCGTTCCAGACACGGAGCAATAGCGCCGCTATGGGTGTAACTATAGGTGTAAATATAGGTGTAACAGTTCTAGGCGTAGTTACTAAAGTTTATAGGGTATAAGTGGTTTCTGAATGTTGATGGTTGTGGTATTACAAGTTCAGAAAACTTTATCCTTTTTTCTTACTTTTATCATTTATCGTCATTATAACTAACTAGCATAGTAGCATAGTGAACTAGATTATCACTGTAACTGGAAACCGGAGAGTGAAATTCGACGCGGTCCCTCGTCTACCGTACGGCGCCGCCCTAGAACAGCTCTGCTGTTATTATGTTTCTGTAGAGATGTGGCCTGCGTACCGCGCCGTTAACCAATCTCTCACCGAACTGAGGGCTATTCAAGCCGAGATGGCTTATGTGTTGCTGCTCGCTTTTTACACGCGCGCCTAGCGCTGAGGTCACGTCATCATAGACCTTTGACAGGAAGCTGAAATACGAAACGTTTGTTGCTCTCGATTTGCGCACTCAGAAGGAACGTGTCTACGTTGGTCTGTTTGAGCGACTGACCTGCGTCTCAAACTATACGTGAAGAGAACATTTCCTCCAATTCCTTTTATACTTACAGGCTTGCCCTCTGTAGATGGGAAGCAATTATTGGCAACCTCCATTAATACCTCGCCTTTCTGGTGAAACACTTGCTTCTTACCATTTTTTTTTCAGAACTTGTGGTGAACAAATTGAGGGCAACGAAATAGCTGGAAGGATAACCCAGGAAGAATTGGGACAATCTAATAAGGTGAGAGATTGTGACCCACGCACCAGCGTGATAATAGTTGTCTAAAAAGTTTCATGTTCCTGTGTCGCCCATTCTCTCCCTCTATCTTTTTTTGATACCTCAGTAAATGTTATCATCCGTTCTAGTCGTGGATACTAAAGTTTATAGGGTATAAGTAGCTTCGGAATGTTGATGGTTGTGGTATTACGAGTTGAGAAATACTTTATCCTTTTTTTCCTTCATTCACGGTTTATCGTCATTATAAATAACTAACTAGCATAGTAGCATAGTGAACTAGCATATCACTATGATATCAGCTTTTCGAGTGGGATGGTGTCAAAGACGCGCTCGGCAGCCCGCTATGATACTTTTCCCTATGGTGCATGGTCCCCCATGGATCACTCGCGCACTTATCTCGTGGTGGCGCAGAAGCGCATACATCTTGGACTTTCACCGGAATGATTGCGTTGGTCACTTCACTCGTTGCAGCCTCCCCGTTTGCGCGAATAGCACGCTTTTCAAGCAGGAGAAGTAGCAACTGTGACACTAGTTCACACTCATGGTGTCTATATACCTGTCCGTATACTTTTCGTACGTCCTTTGCGTTTGAGCAGTGCATCGAGTGTTGAGCTGTGAACGTTGTAAGCTCGCGCTCGTCGTGTATGTGTTCTTTCCATGTGATCTTTCTTGTTTGGTAGTGCGCGACACGTTTCGATGTGGTTGCCGCTCTGAACGAGACATTCTATTCTGTTGTTATTGCATTCATTCACAGCGAAACTATAGGACTTTTTCACTGTTGGTGGCACGATAACACTTTTTGCCGGCGTCACCAGCAACTCCAACGTCATCGAAACCCCCAGAGAAGAACCCGGAATAGTGCGTGTGCTTGTGTTTGCCTGTGTGTGTTGTGTGTTTGCGTGCATGTTTGTGTGTGCGTGCGTATGTATGCATGTTTATGTGCTTGTGTGTGTTTGTGTATGTCAGTGCGTGCGTGTGTGTCTTTTTTTCCGTGGTGCGCCTGGGCTAAGCAATGCTGTCTTCGTTCGTTTGGCCATGGTTTATCGTGAGTGTTTTCTAAACCGATGCAAGTGATGACTTCAATTCAAAAACATAATCCCGGCTGCGGCGGCTGCATTTCTGATGGGGACGGAAATGTTGTAGGCCCGTGTTCTCAGATTTCGGTGCACGTTAAAGAACCCCAGGTGGTCAAAATTTCCTTAGCCCAACCCTACGGCGTCTCTCATAATCATATGATGGTTTTGGGACGTTAAACCACACATATCAGTCAATCAATTCAAAAACATATCGGAGGTGGTTTACACGCGTGTCAATTCGCAGCTAGCGAAAGTGGTCGAGCCCCATGATGTGTAAGAGCACAGTGACTATATATGTTGCACAACGACGGAATATAGCAATATTGTTCTCAAGCGTGTAGTAGTCTTACACACTGCCCACTAAGCAGTAACAACTGTGAGACCTCTCGCTTTTAACAATTTTTCTATTTCCTTCGGCCAGACAGGATGGCAGCTGCTCTGCAAACTCATACGCCTTACACGGTGGCCGGCGATAGCGGGAGTCTTCATGTACCTAGCAGCGGCCTGTGCTTTCGGCACACTACAGGTGTGGATCAAGAAAGGAACAGATTCACCCGAAGCCACGACCAGTGACCCTACCGAGCGGCTAAGCTGGGTGGAAATTCTCGTGGTGATCTGCTTGGCAGACGGTGAGAACATGATATTACGTTCCGTATTGTCGAGATACTCGAAACACACGCGACTCGTTCAGGACTTGTGGACTCTAGTTTACTGCAACAGCTTTTGCGCATGTTGATTCTTTCGTGGCATCTTGCTTTGATGCTGACCTGCATGCCCTACTCAGTCTCAGGGGATGCACACTCTTCGAATTTCTTAAATAATCTATCGCGCCAAAACATACTTCACTCCGTAATGTTGAAAGTTTGGTGACATAATGATCGTTTATATTGATGTAAGAAGCAGCGCATAGAGACGAACACAACAAGAACGAAACGCAGCGGTTCTCCTGAAGCTTGACTCCTTTTCTGCCTTGTCTTCGTGCGCCGCTTCCCCCATAAACGTCAACGCACTTCACTTTGGCTCAGAATACCCGTGAAAAAAATTGAATCCACAACCGCTAGTTAAACAAGACGAACATTGTAATAGACACAATTGACCGGGTGTATTAAGCCAACTCAGAAAACTAGCAGGATAAATAACTTAGATGTACTGCCCAAAGAAAGAGAGAGAGAGTACTTTTTCACTGCATTAAGATTTTTCATGAATTTTGGAAAGGCAATAAAAATGGTAAGCGCTTAGGCATCTATAGATAAGACCGTGTAATAAAAATAACTAGAAACTGCACCTCATACGATGCCTAAATCAAGTAAGTTTGAGGAATTATACACCGCTTTATGACATGTGCGCAGTGCCACAGCTAATTTGCTTCAAGTGTCTGTTGATTTCGAGCACATTTAACGAAAAGCCGCGAATAAGGTTACACAGGGCTGTCAGCATACAATTAATAAACTTATATTTCTGAACAAGCAAACAAAACTTTTGCGCTGAAAATTTTCGGCTACTGTTACTATAGTAAAAGCAATTAACTAATCTTGGTTTAATACTAAACTTGGTAAATCAGAAGAGATGTCATGACTTTCCTCATATGGCTAGCAACATTTCTGAGATATAATTTTGACACGCGTAGTGCATTACTTGGTGCAGGTTAGCTAGAACACCCTCTTTCAGTAGTTTGTCGCAAGGTCAAGAACGCTGGCAAATCTTATGAAAATGTCAACGTCACTGTGTGCAAGACCGTGGGAACGTTCCGACGTTGCTGGAACTCCGCGAATGTCATCTGATATGTAAGCAAGGATTATGTTCGAGGATATGAGCCTTGAAAGATAGGTAATTTACTACCACTACAACTAGCCCTATTTCGTTTTGATGGATGTGAATGACTCAACATTGAGCGTCTGTATAGTGTGTGTGTGCATAATGTAAGGTTTTCCGCCGCGCATCATTTTTTTTTCAGAATAAGTACGAGCGAGAAGTTGCCCAACAGCTGCTGTATGCTAAACATCTCTGACTTTTATTTAACTCTACCTCTTTTTCTTCTCTAGTATAAAATATTACTGAGACTATGCTTGTTTGTTTGAAATACTCATATCAATGAAATATTTATGATTGTTGGAACTGGATGAAAGTCATTCTTTTGCTTTTACTTCAATGCACTCATTCCCAGTTTAAAACCTTGTATGAGGCTCCAAGTCAAGATTCATTTTCTAAGAACAAAATATGATTTTGTGGATATTACACACAGGAGGAGTTTTGCTTGAAAAACCATCTTCCGCACCATGTCACAACTGTGAACGACACAGCAGCTACGAGGCTGTTTGAAATTTATTTTTAGTGATTCTGCTTTATACACCCAGATTTTCTTTTAAGCTCTTAATCGCAGTCCTACAGTGGTCACACTGTCTACCAGAACATGTCAGGAGAATGAGTATACCATCATAATCAAGCACCGTTGGTGAGGTCAACATTTTCACGATTGCGAGGATTTGAGTTGCATTATTGTGGGTTGCATTGCAGCATTATATGCGGTGCATGCTTGAAATAAAGGTAAATTTTGGCGGTTTGCATGCCAAAGCAGTGATATGACACTATGACGCTTTAGTGTAGGGCTCCAGAAATTGTCGACCACCTGGGGTTCTTTAAAGCGGCTCTGCAGCGCTTCTTTACCACGGGGAGGAAACGCCGCCAATCAGTGTCGCAGTCCCAGGGAAATAAAAATCGGCCCTGTATTTGCATGTTTCACTGTGAATGACGTCGAAAGATAATAGTCTTACGTGTGGAGAGAGTGAACAAAGCATTTATTTGATGTTCTGCGCGAACTAATCGGTGAATTGTATTCTGGAAGCACTGCGTTAGGGAGTCTCGATCTCTGCAGCGAAGGCGAAAAAGCGCATCGAGGCACGTTAGACACGAGCGCCATCTGGCAGTTATCTTTGAAAACAAAGGAAGGCGTGCGTGCCCACGGAGAAAGATGCACGCCCGTCTTGGAGGCGATAAGGTGTAGAACGCAAAGTGACGGGCAGGTGCCACCACCAGGTCGTCTTAGCGAAGCGTTGGAAACACTTGCCTTTTTGAGCATCGTGTTGCACTGTCAGCGCGGCGTGATAAACGCTACGGTCCTTAAAATTACTTGTGTGTACCTTCTCTAGTATAAAGACACACATACAAAACATCAACGTGTTGTTATGGTGTCTCGGATATGCGCAATATTTGCTTTTTCAATTGACAATCGCACAAGTGTGAACGCTGAAACTTGAGCAATATTGGTGGGAGCTGCAGGTGGGGTTGGCCGTTTGAGGTGTCGTTTGGTGCCATTTGGGGTATCGTTACCGTATAAACGAATGTATTTGTGAATTATTGAGGTCATTTCGGAAGGGACGGCTTTATGCTCTCCCATAGTAGAGTACTAAGTACTCAAAATCGTTAACCACATTTTTCTAAACACAGCCAGACAAAAATTTTGGCGTCGAAGGTCGCAGCATAACTGAGACATCGGACGGAGGAAACGAAACGCGGCTGCAAAAGGCAAGAAACGCTCGTGTGTGTTGCGTGTTTTAGATGCGGAGCATCTTATACTCGCACCTTGTAGTGCGCCGTCCGCGCCGTCCGCACCGCTTCTCGAACATTCGACAGCTGACGCGCGCGCATGCGCCGTCGCGCCGTCGCCCACTCTTCCACCATCTGTGCATCCCTTCCTCCTCTACACACCGCGCGCGCTTCACTCCTCCACCATCTGTGCACCCTTCCTCCTCTACACCTACGCAACCTACTGCGGACTCCGGTGTGCCCCGGCTAAGTCAGAATTTGTGCACGTACGTCCCTCCCCTCAGGACACAACTCAGCTCCATATCAGTTTTCCCTCGGGACCGATCCGTGAGGCCAAGGAGATCCGCGTCCTTGGCCTCTTCATACACCACCAACGCAAGGCCGACACCACAATAGCCAAACTTCACACGGTGGGAGACCAGGTGGGCCGTATGGTCCGCCGGGTCTCCAACAAGCGGGGCGGATTACGAAGCAGGGATGCAATGCGGCTTGCCCATGCTTTAGTAACGAGTAGAATACTCTACTCGACTCCCTACTTGCACCTACGCAAACACGAGGATGATCAACTCGAGGTCATCCACCGTAAAGTTATCAAGCGGGCTCTCGACCTCCCTATCACCACGTCCAACCAGATACTTCTGGCCCTAGGCGTGGTGAATACCTACCGGGAACTTCGAGAAGCCCACCTCGTTAACCAATACACGCGCCTTGCACAGGCCCATTCCGGTCGCCGCCTCTTGGACCGAATACACATCAAACACGATTACTATATTGAGGAAAGGGTGAGAGTGCCAGAACCTTGGAGACGCGCCCTCCGGGTCCGACCCCTTCCCCGCAACATGTCCAAAGAAAACCACAGTGGTCGCCGCCAGGCGCGCGCGGAAGCGTTGCAGCGACACTTTGGTCAAGAGGAACACGTGTGCTACGTGGACGTTGCCGGCCCGCACCATGGGGGGTGGTATACTGCCGCAGTCATACACAACGCAAACACCGTAAACGGGCTCACTTTCAAAGCCTACAGCGCAACACACGCGGAGGAGGTTGCCATCGCTCTGGCTCTCACCTATCCCTCTTCTAAACATATCATCACCGACTCACGAGGGGCCTGTCGGAACTATCAGCTAGGGTGGGCTTCACCGCTTGCTCAGCGCATACTGGAACCTAGCTGCCGATACGTTAATCCAACTCCGCGAAATCTGGTTTGGGCACCCGGTCACCAAGGACTCAGGGGTAACGAACAGGCCGATCAGGCCGCCCGCGCACTCTCTTCCCGGGCTATCTCCCTGTCTTTGGAAGCCTACTCGCAATCAGACAATTCGGCCCTTTCATTCAAAGATATTACCAATTACTACAAGGAGGAGCACCGGCGCTATCCAGACCCTTGTAAGGGACTGCATCGCGCTGACGAGCGCCTCCTTTTAAAACTGTTTACCAATACTGTACTGTGCCCGGCGGTGCTAAAACATTTCAATTCATCCTTTGATGGCACGTGCCAGTTCTGTGGTGAGGTGGCTGACACCTTTCACATCGTCTGGGCGTGCCAGTCTAATCCATCTATCCCCCCCAACCCCAATCCCACGAGAGAGGACTGGGAGGCGGCCCTGCTCGGCTGTCAAGACCTGAAGGTCCAAGAGGCTCTGGTTCAACGTGCGCGGGCGGCGTTGCTTGCCAATGGAGCCCCGGAATAGGGGTTCCACCTAGTGCTGTGAGGGTAGGAGGCCAATAAGGCCCCAACCCAATCACCTCTCTGTAACCATTTAATGGTTAATAAATGTTTTCACCACCACCACCACCTCCTCTACACACCGCGTTCGACATCTACAATTCTCCTGATTCTCCAGTGGACGCGCATGTGGCGTCGCGCTTCGAGAACATTCAACAGCTGACAGTGCATGCGCCGTCGTGCTGTATATATACTCAAGGTCGGCGCTCGCTCGCTCAGTTGCCGCTCGTCGGTTGGTTTGTACGGCGCGTCGACGTCCAAGGTCGCGGTGATATGAATTCCAACGAATCCACAAACACAATGATCGACGTCCCTTCGACCAGCGCCGCCCTTTCGCATACGTGTGTACGTGTTCACTCATTTAACACCCCCTCCTACAACCACGTTAACCAATTTAGCCATCGACCCAAGTAAGTCGCAATTTAACACCCCATTTCACAACCACGTTAACCAATTTAGCCAGCGACCCAAGTAAGTCGCACTTTAACACCCCGTTAACCAATTATATGGTCCGCATCCTCCTCAGTGTTCCCCCGAGGGAAGCTGCGGGCAATTTTTTTTTCATCCATTGTCTCAGTCGGGTTGTGCCTTCCTATTGATTAGGACCAATTCGACCTAACCAAAATCTTACGGATCATGTAAAGATGCCAGCCGAATCTTACAGCGCAGCCCGTGGCCAGGCATTCACAATTATTTCTCCAAATCCGCTAGCGATCGTTCTCTCTTCTTTCTCTAAAGGATGCCATGCACCTAAATGACGGCGCCATATTGCCAAATTTACGGCCATCAGCTGATATGGGAATCCTGGGCTACATAGTTGCCGCCACCGCAGAAAGCCATCACGTGCTCGCGATCACACTGAAGTTAAGCCGCGCGTTCGTAAAAAAAAAAAACGTGCTCAAGGTCACGACGTGCGCATGACGTATTTTCTTTCCTCGTTCCGTACCTCTATGCTTATCTTCTAGCGCTTTCATCTGGAAGAGAGAAGAGAAAATACAATTGCAGCTTGCGACGAATATTTGTAATTCCACTCGCATACTGGACGGATTCTAAAAATGTTTGTGACTCTGTGTTCGTGAGGCTATAAACCCTGTCAGTGAAACCGTTGGAAGATTACTAAAATGGCAGCATATCCACGGTGTGAATGATGGAGAGTGGGGCGAAAGATTCGTCCGTCCATTCGTTCTTGGCTCCGTCCGTCCATGCGTCCGTCAGTGTGACCGTCCATGCGTCCATCAGCGCGTCCGTGCATGCGTCTGTTCGTGCGTCCGTCCCTGCGTTCGTCCATGCAGCCGCCCCTGCGTTCGTTCATGCGTCCATCCATGCATCTGTCTATGTGCCCGTTCGTCCATCTATTCAACACTCCAAGTACCGCCATCTCGCATCTTTTCATCAAATATTCCCCATATAGAAGCACCGCCATCCAGCGGACATTCCAAGGACTAAACGAGAGGTGGAACACGCACACTTTCTTACGGCTTGCGCTTCGGGTCCACTTCCCACCTTTAACCACCTCGAGTTCATGGTATATACTAGTTCACTGTATTCATGGCACAGCGGCCGAACGCTCGCTAAACCTTTAGAAAACCAAGGAGGTTACGCCCAGCGAGTATAACGTAGCAACCCCTTCTTGTCAGATCGTGCTGAATGTGCATGCCAATAGCTGCTAATGGGGATCGCAGCATGCGCGTTACCTAAAAGCCGAATGCTCCTGTCTCTCATTCCCCATTAGCAGCCATTGACATGTCCATTGAGCACTATTTTTTATTGTTCAACAGCGCACAGAAAAAGTCTCTCACCGGCACCACCTTGGAGGTGAAAATGTTATACTTGTTACATACTACGGGAACGAACGGGTGCCGCTATAAGAAGCTTCGCCCCTAAAAATCAGCACAGCGTTACGAGGTGGAGATAAATGATGCCTTCCGGGACTTCCGTGACATGAATTCCGTGTGATGATTATCATGTTTGGATGTGTCGCTTACCTTCGTCATCAATTCACGTCAAGTGATACCAAATTTAGTATATGTGGAGCTATCGAAACGGCCGCGAGCACGATATGAGCGTGGTATGTTGTCATGTTCTTACATCACACACGTGTCAGGATTATCATGTTTGCACCAGTCATATATTTCGTCATGCATTGACGTCACGTAACACCAAATTTGGTATGTGTGGAGCTAGCCAAATGGCCGTGAGCGCATCATGAGGGGCCGAATATACTCCAACGTAGCGTTGACGCGCGCGCACGCTGGTCCGAGCGACGCTACGTTAGCAAAACACGAGCACTCTATAACCTGACGCAAGGTGCGACCAGCGTCCGTCGGCGCTGCCCAACGGCAACCAGCGCGAAATGCGACATGCTGCATTTCGCGCCGATGTGTTACCAAGACAACACTGCGTCTCTCCCTTTCCGTGACGGATGGACGCGATTCGCGCTGAAGTACGCCTGCGAGTATATGACTGGACCGGCGCCTGGCGTGGCAACACCGGCGGGACGAGATGAAATGAACGCCGGCGAGCCCGCGCACCGCGTCACATCAAAATGTATTGGCGCCTTGACCGTGGCATGTAGTCATATTCTCACATGGCACGCATCTCATGGTTATCATGTTTGCACCAGTCGCATACCTTCGTCATCTATTGATGTCACGTAATACCAAGTTTGGTGCATGTGAAGCTAGCGAAACGGCCGCGACCGCGTCATGAGTGTGGGACGTAGTCATGTTGTTACATTACACGCATGTCATGATCATCATTTTCGGACGTGTCATTTGACTATATCATCGGTTCGCGTCAGGTAATACCGAATTTGGTACATGTGAAGCTAGCGAAACGACCACGAACGCATCATGAGCGTAGCATGTAGTCATTTTTTTACAAGACACGCATCTCATGATTATCATCTTTGCACCAGTCACATACCTTCGTCCTCCATTCGCGTACCATAATACCAAATTAGGTATATGCAAAGCTAGCGAAACGGCCACGAGCACATCATGAGTGTGGCATGTTATCGTGTTCTTACATGACACGCATGTCATGATTTTCATGTTAGAGTGTGTCGCTTGTGCTCGTCATGCAATCATGTCATACCATATCAGTTTTACAACATGCCATGTGAACGGAACTACCGCAAGAGCTGCAGGACCATGAAATGTAAATCATGACATTGATGACATAGATGTCGTGATTTTCATGTTATGACCAGTCAAACATGTTCTTCATACAGTCGTGTTATACCATACCAAGTTTGGTATCGATACCATTGTCTAAACGGCCAGGAGAGCTAAAAGTCGTAGGCAGATAGATAGATAGATAGATAGATAGATAGATAGATAGATAGATAGATAGATAGATAGATAGATAGATAGATAGATAGATAGATAGATAGATAGATAGATAGATAGATAGATAGATAGATAGATAGATAGATAGATAGATAGATAGATAGATAGATAGATAGATAGATAGATAGATGGATGGATGGATGGATGGATGGATGGATGGATGGATGGGTGGATGGATGGATGGATGGATGGATGGATGGATGGATGGATGGATGGATGGATGGATAGATAGATAGATAGATAGATAGATAGATAGATAGATAGATAGATAGATAGATAGATAGATAGATAGATAGATAGATAGATAGATAGATAGATAGATAGATAGATAGATAGATAGATAGATAGATAGATAGATAGATAGATAGATAGATAGATAGATAGATAGATAGATAGATAGATAGATAGATAGATAGATAGATAGATTCGCTCAAAATCGCGAAAGTCCGCTAAGAAATGCTTCGCATTGAAAAACGTTGCAAAGCCCCTTTAATGTAAACCTGAATCTATGTGAACGAGCCTCTAGCACTTCGCCTTCGTAGAATGCGTCTGCCCAGATCTATTCCGCTAATTCGGGTAAGCAGCCGAGAATCACAATCAGCGTGTCACCGTGGCTGCTGTAACGCATTTGTCGAACACGGTCGGCGCCGATCAGAGCCTCCTAGCTCACAAGAGCTGTTTATAACACTAAGATCCAGCCGAGCATTTCTTCACATCTGACCAGGATATTCACTTATCTGTGATGTTTGAAATTTTATTAACTGCGTTGTCGCTGGTGCCGGCGTCTCGACAAGCAAACTTGTTTTGCTGCACTGAAAACCTACGACAAGCCTGCTATTTGATATATTCACTCCAGTCACATCCCTGTTCAAGATTTTTTCGTATCGTCAAGCTTGCATATTCCCGTGAAACACTGCCATTTATGTACGATGTTTTTATTAGCATGCGGATGCTACAAGAGGCCGGGCTTAACAATGAGTTGCTGCGCCTGTTAAGCGAAGCTGTCTGCCTCCGATTGAGCGATCGAATTTCCTTGATTGGAAAGTTGCACAAATACGTTCAAGTACCACACCATCACTGGCTAGATTAGTAACAAACTGTTATCAAACAAATAGAGCACAAAACATTTGACATGATACATAAGCTCCGGCCTCGCTTTGCTCTGCCTTTAAGGTATTAACGCGATAGCGTTGAACAGCTCGTGTCGCAGTAAACCCGCCGCCGGGGTCGGCCGCGTTGGTTGTGAGCGAGAAATCGTCTGTGTGTCTGGGACCCAAAAATCAAGTTACCGAGATAGCCGCGGGAGGCCGCTAAATGTCCACGCGTGCGCGCGTGATCACACTGAAAAAGCCGCGCATTCGAAGAAAAAAAAAAAGCTCAAGGTCACGAGGCACGGTAGTTTCTTTGCCCTGCCATCCCTCTCTGCTTAGCTTCCAGCGCTTTCGTCGGGACGAGAGAAGAGATAATGCAATTGCAGCATGGACAAACCTTTGTAACTCCACTCGCACTGGAGGGGTTCCTAAAATTTTTGCGGCGTTGAATTCGTGAGGCAATAAGCCCTTCTAATGAATTCATTTCATGGTTACTTGAAAAAGTGTTTCGGGGCCCCTTTAACGCATTTTGTTCGACAGGTGTCACGACGAAAGCGAGCCCACTCGGCAATAATAGCGCGTGCTGGTCAAATTTTTCGTGTGCGTGTTTGTGTGCGTGCGTGTGTACGTAACAAAACATATGAATAAGTATGTACTTAACGGTTGAAGGGTGCACTAGGGGCTGGATTTCGCTATCGCGTTCAACACTTCAAGGCGAAGCTTAAGGGTCCCCCAATTTCTTAAGGCGCCATTGCACCCGTTAATATCCTCCAATCTGGCTGGTTAGTCAAGCTCTGCTCGATATTGTCACTTGAGGCTCATTTAAGTGCTCTTAGTGCAGTTTTTTGGGCCGAATACAGACAGCACGGGATTGAGAACTTCGCTTTTGCAGTGGCGCTCCGTGCTGCTGGAAGCGTGCTTTTGGCCATGTCAGCGCAGCGTCTTTCGAGGTCACTGCGCAACGACATGCTGAGTCACGTGCTGCGGAGTCCCGTGACCTTTTTCGACGAGCAACCACGGGGCCGCATCCTGAACCGCTTCTCGAGCGACATCGACTACGCCGACTCGCGCTCGTTCCTCAGCGGAAAGCAGAGCGTCCAGTACACGCTCCTCACCTTCGCCAAGATCGCCGTCGTTGGCACGGAGGCGCCACTCGTGGTCGGCGTCACGCTCGTGATGGCCGTCGTAGTGTGCTACGGACTGGTGAGGCCTGAAATGTTTTTGAAAGCATCGTTAGGGCGCCATGTCCCTTAATGTCTCAATAGTCGTGAGTGCTTGGCACGTCTGGAAAAACTGCCCATTGCGAGCATGACAACAAGGGAAGGCAAGACATAGTCTTTCTTTCTTTCTTTCTTTTTTCGGCCTACCTTCTGTTCCTTTGTGTGCCTGTGTTGCGTTCGTCATGCAGTACCAGTCTACGATACACTTTATTTGTGTGTGTGATGGCAAAACCTCCATTTTTCTAACGCACACCTCAAAGTTATCTTTATAATGTAAATTTCCTTCAAGTTGTCAGCCCTGTTGCCCACCCCGTCTTGAGCATTTCTATTAGGTAGAACTTCTCGAGGACCGCGCTCAATGGAGCAGGTAATTATGGCTACAAAGAGGTATTTATTGTAGCATATATCAGAAGATCTACAACTACGGCAGATATATAATTGAATCACGCCGAATATGGCGCTACAACAAAATATAACAAAAAATACCCCTCAACACGTAATAAATTGTTCTATGGCGTCCGTGTAACGTCTGGTGTCCTCAAAGGGGAGCTTTCAGACTATAACTGTTCTTAATTTTTGTCAGTGCTGCCCTTCAGCGGCCGTCTTAATATTTAAAAACAAGTATCACTGCTTTAAAAGCAGTGAAGCAAGCAAACTTTGTACACAAGTGTTCCATACATGTACGCTTGTTTTAGTGGTAGAAACCAGTATGGATATGTTTTCGGAAATGTTACGCCAAATCCGCCGCACAAATGTCCCATATACGTGACACGGGTAAGGCCCTCCTTCAAAAAATTGGCAGATCCCACGTCAGTGCAAACGGTGATATGCGAAGCACGAATAAGGAAGGTTAATATGTCACTTTGAAATCAGCTAGAACGTTATGAGGTGAAGGTAAATTAGCTGTACATGTCTTCCATGTCATGATTATCATGTTTAGAAGTGCCATTTACCTTCGTCATTCATTCGCGTCAACTAATACAAAGTTTAGTATATGTTGACTTAGTAAAACGGCCGCGAGTGTGCAATGAGCGTAGCATGTAGTTATGTTTTACATGACACCCATATCATGATTATCATGTTTGGACGTGTCATTTACCTTCGTCGTCTGTTCACGTCACGTGTCACAAAAATTAGTGTATGTGGACCTAGCGAAACGGCCGCAAGCGCATCATGAGCGTGGCACATAGTAATGTTGTTGCATGACACGTATTCTATGTTTATCATGTTTCCACCAGTCACATACCTGCGTCATCCATTCACGACCCGTAATACCAAATTTCGTATAAGTGAAGCTATTGAAACGGCCGCCCACGTCTCATGAGCATGGCATGTAGTCATGTTGTTACATGACACGCATCTCATACATGATTATCATGTTTGCACCATGGTGGTTGTGGTGGTGGTGGTGGTGTTACAGCAGGCGGGGTTAGCCTGGCCTGCATGGCCGGCAATTGTTCCGCCTGAGCATTTCCTGAATTTGGAAAATGTCACCACGTGTCAGACAGCCCAGTGTCTCGCAGGAAGACCAACAAAGTTCGTTGCACGTTCCTCCTAGTTGCCGCGGGTCTTTTAGGAAAGATGATGTCATCAACTGTCTGGTGCCCATGACAGCCTTTTCGCAAGGTGCGGATCATCGCTGCTCTTTGCGCATCAAACTGTGGGCAAAGCCAAATGAAATGTTCAATATCCCCGATGTCACCACAGAAGGCACAGAACGGGGAAGCGTATCTCCCAGTCTTGAATGACTAGGCCGGGGTGTATGCGGAGCCGGTTCTAATGCGGTACAATAGCGTTGCTTCTTCCCGAGAAAGTCCATGAATTACACATGCTTGGTGTGGAAACTTGTAGATCACCTTGAAATGATTGCGTATCACATCTTTGTTGTTCTGGTAAGTCTTGGGAGTTCTTACTTTTGGAAACGATGTACGTGCTTCGCATGCAAGGGCATCAGCCTTTTCATTGCCCTCAATGCCAACGTGGGATGGGATCCACTGGTACTTTATATTAAAACTCTTGCCATTGAGGTGTTTGATTAGTGCCAGAGATTACCTGGTGAACCTTTCTTGAGGGAGGCCGCGATGCAGTCTTTGTAGCGCCGAATTGGAGTCCGTCAGCACTAAAACATCTTGTGCAGAAAAGGATCGCAATTTTCGCCAAGCCGCCGTGATTGCAGCGCTTTCTTCCGTTGTGGACGAAACCACGCGATCCAGGCGGCCTGACCATGACACGCCAAGGCAGGGTATGCAGACAGCCGCTGCGCAGCTATCCGTTTGTGTGCACACTGCTCCGTCGGGTACACTTGTAGGTGGCTGCGGTACATGGTGCTCAAGTGGTCCAGCGCAAGAAATTTTGCTTCCGCGGCTGAAATGGTGCGCCTCGCTGGTAGAGTGGGTACGCTGAAGTTACACGCATCATCCACAAAAGACCATGGCGGGTCCATAGAGCGCCGTTCAGGCAGTTTCAAGCCTAAATATTGAAATGTGTTTAGTGCCGCGTTAAAATGTGAGCCAGTTCTTGCTCTTAGCCGCCGGAGAAGCACCGTGCATGCGAAGGACTCGCCCAGTCTTGACAGCTGCGTCAATAAGGCCTGAGATGCCGAAAGGCGTAGCGGAAGAGACTCGGCTTCATTTGTGACCTTCGTGTTTGAAACCGCCTGAGGGACTCCCATCGCCAAGCGAAGACCCTTTCTGTGCACTGCCTCTAGGCGTTCGAACTGGCTTGGTGATGGTGATATCAGGGGCAGCTGATAAAGAATGCGGCTTGTTATAAGCGCATCATTCAATTTAAGCATGGACATAGGATTGTTGCCCCAACGGACCCCTGCCATGCGACGAAGAGCGTTGATCCTTTGCACTGATGCAGTGACTATACCATAAACCGCACATCGCCATAATAGCTTGTTGTCGATGGTAATGCCCAGGAAACGGACACTTGTTGCACAACGAATTGAGTGGCCTCGAATATTCAGCGACAGATGTGTAGACTTCCGTCGCGCTCCCGGGAAGAGCATTAAGGCCGATTTTTCCGCTGATAAAGATAGGCCAAGTGTCAACAAGTGACGCTCAATGATGGAGATAGCGCTCTGTGCTATCCGGGTGAAACGTTTGTGCTGGTACCTTGAGATCCAAATGCAGATATCATCGGCATAGATCGATATTTTAACTGCTTTCAGAGCTAAGCGTAGAGTGTCGCGAAGGCTGGCCATGGCAGCGTTAAAAAGCAAGGGAGATAGAACACTTCCTTGTGGAACGCCGAGGGAAACGCGTCTCTCTTCGCTCGTTACATTTCCAAGCTTAAGATTGACACAGCGGTCTCCGAGAAATTCATGTACGAGCCGAAGAACATTTCCCGACACACCCATGGCTTGGAGCCCGTTCACGATGCCTGCCTGAAGCACACAATCATATGCCTTGGCAAGGTCCATGAAGACGGCGACTGTCGAGAGTCTACTGACGTGGTGGTGCTCGATGCGGCTTAATGGGTCAAAAACACTGTCCTGGGCACTCAGTCGTCGGCGAAATCCGGTCATGCACGATGGCCATCGTCTTCTTTGTTCAAGGTACCAAGTTAATCTTGTACATAGTAATCTTTCCATCAACTTAGATACGCATGATGTAAGAGATACCGGTAGATATGACGCGAGGCTCGCAGGATGCTTTCCGTACTTTCGGACTGGCACCACCCATGCTGTCTTCCAAACAAATGGGATCTCTCCCGTGCTCCAGACATGAATAAATATGTCCAAAAGGGCCCTTTTCCGCTCATATAATAGATTTGTCAGCATTTGATTGCTGATCAAATCGGGACCCACGGCACAGCGTCTTCTTAATTTGCTAAGTGCCATATCCAGCTCTCGAAAGGTGAATGGCGTATCCATCGTGTGAAAAAACTGCGGTGACAGAGGAATTGCCGCTCCTGCTGATCTACCAGATGTGTACACGTCTGCGAAATCCTCTGCAAGGGTTTGCAAATCTATCCCTTGTTTCAAAGCGAGTGCTTCGAATGGCCTGTGTGTTCGGATCTTCCCAGAAAGACTATTTATTACTGCCCATATTTTTGTCAAGGTCGTAAACGTTGACAAACTCTCACAGAAAGCGGCCCATTGATTTCGTCTTAATTTTTTTGTATGGCGACGAATCGCAGCGTTTATCCTGGTATATTCGGTTTTCGCAGACGGATTTCCTTTTGTTCTCATTATTTTCTGCTCCGCCCGTCTACGTGCTGCGCAGAGGTTCTTCAATTTCAAGTCAGGAGCAGGAAAATGGTCGGGCAGTTTCAGCAAAGTTGCTGCTCGCTTGCTTCGCAACATATCTGCGAACAGCTCACCAGTGGGTTTGTCCAACGCTTCTCTGTAGGTGTCCCAGCGTGTTACATTGCAGAATTGTCGACCAGCAGTTCGAAATCCCAGGATATTGGTGAAGATGGGAAAATGGTCACTGCCAATCTTGTCTGTAGCCGTGGTTAATTATACCAGAAGGTCCGTGAAGTGAAGTACAAGGTCTATTGCACTCCATGAATCTGGTGGCGTGAAAAATGTAGGTTTGCCAGCGTTCACCACACATACGTCGGCAGCATCCGCAGCTGCTAGAAGTTCTTTGCCTCGAAAATCTACACTCTTATCTCCCCAGAGTGGATGGTGCGCGTTAAAATCACCACAGATTATTCGAGGAGCGGGACATCGAGTACAAAGGTCCTTTAGGAAAGTCTCTATGGAGACCTTTTTTCGTGGGCTTATGTACACCGATACCACACTCAGTTTTCGGTTTCCCAGGCACACTTGCACAGCAGCGACTTCCAGTGGTTTGGAACAGAGGTCTTGCACTGGTAAGGCCACGTGAGGTATTTCCCGCCTTATGTATATCATTGCGCTTCCATTTGCAAACGACGTTATGCTCGGGTTGCCGTGTCGGGTGTACCCTGGGAGCGTCCTTGCATTCAGTAGACCGGCTTCGGAGAGGGCTAGAATCGGTATTGTAATGT